ATGAAACTCTTACGAATTCAGAAAAATCTCTCATCAGCTTGATGAAGGAAAACATTCACATCTCAAGAATACGATTTTCATGGAAACAATTCCAAGTGAATATTAGATAATGGAAATGAAAATATGACCTCTCATGTTTTAGAATCAGATAGAATCGCATGAAAAAAAAGAGAAAAGAGAATAATATTCCATGATGAATGACCTGAGAAAATACCATGAATCTTTTCCAATTTCAGGCCAATGTTTCATAAGTTGCTTTCTTTATCATGATTATCAGAATTTTCCATTAAAAACCATTAAAAATTCAGAAATCAGACTCATATGTTTCTCTACACATATATCACGGAGATTACTTCATTCCATTAGTTAATCAGAGCTAAATTTTTCTTTTTCTTTCCTCAGAGTTCTGATTGTTATTCAGATTGAATGTTCTACCATGAACTCTGAGACTCTCTAGAATCAACAATTGATTTTAATTACATCCAGAGATTTTTTTTCTTGATATAAATTAGTAAATAGTATTATCAATCATTAGCATGACAGATTAAGATCAAGTTTCATTTCATTAGCTAATCAGTGACAGAGTGAATGGTGAAATGTAATCATCTAAATCACTTGAAATGATAAATTGTTTCGTATTATTTCAAGTTGATTGTATCTATTATGATGAATATTATTTCATGATTACCATGATCTCTCATGGGAGCTAAAAACAGTATATATTTCTCATGAATTCCATCAGAGTTTTTCCAGGATTTTTTCAATTCTGTTGCATTCGAAGTTAAAAGTAACCTAATCGTCGTTCAGAGGGAAAAAGTTTATTTTATCTTCTCATGAAGACTTATATAAATTCTATAGAAAATTCCGATCAAAAATATGATGTCTCAATTTCTCAATTCTCGGCAAATAAAGTTCAAATTATATATTTAACAAGGTAGATTCATAATTACCATGAAAGTTATACGAACAAGGGTTTTTATTTGTCTGGATTTGTTATCAAATTTCATGAAAAATAGTAAAATGAATGAATAAAAACTTCTGAACTAACTTCATAACTATGGAGATTTTTTTGAATTTTATTACATTTTGATTCTGTTAGAAAAATGGCTCTCAGAACTTGCTGAGTTCCACATTTTCTATTCAGACAATTATCATGGAACAGAAGAAATTTTCTATTCCCAACCAATCATGAGTCAAACATGAGAGTTTTTTTCCATCGAGAAAAACGACAAAAAATTCACCCTTAGGCTTGATTGTGATTAGGAAAAAAATATTAATTCCCTGTGTGTGTATACATTACATTCATGCAAAAGTTGAAAAGTAATCAATGTTATCATGAAAAAAGCACAGAAACTTGAAACTCAAATTATGTTATCATTTCATACTCAATGTTTCAGGGTGAACTCGAAATCCTGATGCCAAGGTATAACCATGAAACTTTTTCCCTCCTTTTCCATCATGATTTTTTTTCGCTACAAATATAATTGAATCCAGCAAATTCGAGACTGGAAAAAGTTTCTAAGTGTTCAAAGATGATGGACAATGACGGTTAATGCTGATGATAATCGTGATGATATTGAAATGCCTCCAGGGTAATTGTTGTTGTTTCTCTCTCGCTCAGATAGAAACAACGAAAACAAAAATTTATCTTTCTTCATATTATCGATACATAGAGATAATGATTATGAAGCATTATCGTTGAGAATATGATGAGAAAATGATGATTTTCTTCAGGGGAGAAAACAAAATGGATAACATCCAATCCACATAATCTATCATGAAGAAAACCTTAACTGATGATTATTGTATTTGAAACATTGTTTCCAAATTTACGCCTTACAGATTATTGAAAATTCTCAGACTGAATTTGGAACTTTTTTTTGTTCTTTTTCACTTTAATTCACTGCTGATTGAAATGATTACAATTTAATCTTGCAAAATTATTATTCACATTGTCAAGGCGGAAACTCAATATTTAATAATCACTCTTATTGTTTATCAATTGTAATTGTTAAATTTTTCACCAAATTTGATTACATCATGTACTCAATTTCCAGTTAAGGTAAATTGTTGATTATTATACAATTCAAATTTCTGTCTTGTTTACTGAGATTATTACATGAAAACCCTGAATTTCATCTTCCCACACAATTCAAACAATAAAATGAACTTGAGTTGATTATGAGAACAAAAAATCAATACAATATAATCAAAAAGTTGTTAGTTAATCATCAAGTTAATCAGTTGAGATTAACGATATTCAATTTTTTAATTGTGAAAAAATTTCATCACCACCAAGAGATTTCGATAGTTTCATATCACAACGACTGTTTCATTCAGTTCCCCTGTAAATTGATTCAAAAAAATGTTTTTTCCAAAAAAAGTTCTGATCTATTCAACATATCGATAACCTTTTCCATTTCGATTTTTGTTTGAAAGTCAATTCTTTATGAGAAAATGTTCTGAGTACAAGTTATTTAGTAAGAAATATTATTCATTCAATTGATTGAGGAATTATCATTTTCAAAGATTTTAGCATTAAGAGAATAATTTATTAATCTGATTAGCATATCGGTTTAGATATTTTAGGAGAAAAGCTATAACATGAACACGATAATATTATCATTATCTTTACTATTATTATCATCTAAATATATTATATGTACTTTCACCATGAAACCGAAAATGATGATAGTAAATTGAGTAAGGTAAACAATAAATAAGAAAGCGAACTGGATGACTGATGAAATCAATGACTATGAGGATGAAAGATGAGTTGTTATGATGTTAGAAGAAAATAAGAAGATGAAAAGATGTGTATCATCATCATCATCATCATTATCATTATCGAAATAGGAAGAGGTTTCGTCTTATTATTCTCATTGGGAGTGATGCTATCGAATATTAATCTTGGAGAAAAAATAAGGTTCTAAGTGGGCTTATCCGTTCGATAACATTAGTTTAGCTTCATCATCTTAAGAATTTCATCAGATTGAGAGAGAAACAGAGAGATAGTTGGTTTTAAGAGAGCATGGGGAGCAGAAGGACAGGGAATTAGGTATCACTGTTTCAAAACTCAAGCTTATGAACTTTTTTTTACTCACCAATTAATATTTTCTCACTCAGAGTAGCTTCTCACTTGCAATTACCTTTTTCTGCTTCGGCTCACCCACTCACTGAACTCACTTGCACCTCATCCTCCTTTTAATACAACATCCAACCAGATAACTCATTACATTAATTTGGGGATCAATTTGCCTCCCAGAAAATGATGCCAAGGATTATATACTATTAGAATCTTACCCACCACCTACTCCCACCTCATTTTGATCCTTCCTTTAAGCTTCTCTCTCATACCATCCAAAATCTCAAAGAGAGAAAGAGAGAAAGATAGATTTTATTTCCGTTAAGATTATTAGTATTATATGAAACTATTTTTTCTCTTCCTCCATCTTTTACTTTCTCACATACTTTCTCTCTCTCTCTCTCCTTGTGTATTATCATTATATTTTGTTTCTAATAAGAGAAAGTGAATCTAAGTGTTATCCAAAATCCAACCAGATTATTTTCAGAAATTAGCTGAATAAATAGCTATATATTTCACTCTCTTTCTCTTTCTGTCTCTTTTGCTTTTGCTTTTCCTTGTCCTTTCTCATCTCTATTCCTGTTTAATTGATCGCAACCACCACACTCTTGCTCTTCTTCTTGATCGTTCACTATTTATCCTCTTCAACCTATTCCATGTTGAATATCATCTTCATGATAAGACTCAACCTTCAATAGCTTATTCCTTTATAATATTATTCCTTCTCATCTCATAATTATGATAATCAATTGTAACTCATTTTTTCATCCTCTCTCTCTCATCACCATCATCATCACCATTATTTTCTTCATCTAATCTCCATTTTTTCCATTTGTATGATTTTAAGAGAAAGAAAATCATCTCCAATCTCTTACCCTGAACTTTAACCATGAAGATTATCAAGGGTATAAGACAATGAACTTGATTCGTGAACATTGATTTTCAATTGATAACTTAAGTTATCACAAACCATTGTTTTCCAATTTTTTCAGCAAGACCTCATCTCTCTCTCTCTCATATTCATCACCATGATGATAAAATAACAATGAAAAATAATAATAGTAATGTGAAAAAAGAGAGACAATTACAGTCTTTCTCAAAAAAAGCATTTTCTTTTCTTTCTTGAGGATCTTTTTTTTCTAGTTCTTCATCTTCTCACTTCCATGGTGAATCATTACCATGAAGATGATAATGATGATGGAAATCATCTTCATCTTTTTTCCCACTATCTCTTGTCTCTTTTATCATCATCTTCTTTATTTTTACCATGTTATTGTATCTCCGATGCTTTTAACAGCTAATGAGCCTCAACTTTCCTTTGGAACTTTTTTTTTTCTCTCCTTCGTCTTCTGTTTTTCTTACTCATGGTAACATAAACGATTCTCTGGGAGTATTTTTTTATCTCTTCTATTACTTGTTCTATTCCTCTTCATCTCATTGAAACACACCCTGACTTCCACCGGTGTGAAATCTCTATGAGTTGTTACTCCCTGTTGATGTTATCTTATCACATTGAACCTGATTCTTGTTCAGATAAATATTTACAATGTCACAAGGTTGTAATAATGATTCAGATAACAAGATAACATTAGAATTGAATGAAAAAAAAATCATCATCATCATGATATCACCTATCAGCTCCCATCTATAAGCGATATGATGATGATGATGACTCTCTATTATCATCTGTTGATAACAATTGATGTTATTAGTAAACTTTTATGTTTGAAAAACTTGAAAATACAATGATAACAATCAAAATTTCATTTTCTCATCAAGATTATCATGAAATCAGATTTACCATTGAAACTTTCTCTTGATATAAACTCTTATTGTTATTTTGTAATCTCTATTTTCCAATATGCTATTTCTAATCTAATTCTGTTCCTTTTTTTTCATCTTCTTGTGCCCACAGATTCAGATAATCAATTTTTTCGGGTGGTTCCTGTTGATATGACAATTACAGAGGGCGATGATGTTGAACTTGAATGCACGGTGGGTAATCAGAAAGGTTCAGTTCAATGGAGTAAGGATGGATTCCTTTTAGGTAAATATTGATTCTAATTCCTAAGATTATCCAGTGTAATATAATAAAAACGACAAATGCTAATCTATTGATCCTAATCCATGATTCCTATCAAAAAAGATTAGACAATCAAAGCATTTGATTATACTTATTATTTATCTTTGTTTGGATTGAAACAAATCTACACTAATATTATAATATCACAGCAAAAAGATTGTAAATATCAATTAATGCAAATGAAAAATTCTGTTATCGCCAAATTTCATGAGCTCAATAAGAAATATTCAAAACTAGACAATGAATTTTGAAATTTTGAAGGTGAAAACTCTTCTAATTTCAAACAATTTAACAACAATTAACTTGGATTATCTTGAGCTGAACATTTTAGGAATTAAATTCACTGTCACTCTATTGTAATGCAAATGAATTAGAACTTGAATCTTTTAGGGAAAAAAGTTCTGATGAGATGAGAAAACTCATGAGCTCTCCCTCTTCCGATTTTCTCACCAACTTTCTCATTCCTGTTCCTCCTTAAATATTATCATCATGATAATGATTCCTTTAAATGTTGTAACCTAAAAGTGTCGAATTGAATTTAAATTTCAATTTGAATTGTAATCTAATGAATTGATGAATTTTGTTCAATCTTTTGTTTACATTATAAAAAAGTTCAAAGGGAAACAAAAGGTTGATAATTTTTTCACCTTTTCTCTTTTGCCTTAACTTTTGTTATCCATTTCCTGGTTTATCCTGTTTTACATGGATGAAGAAAAGTTAATTGAAATTAAATCACCGAGTGACATGATTTTCTAATTAACACTAATTAAAAAGATATGTTGATCATTTGAAGCAACAAAAGTAATCATTTCATTTATCTGGATCATTGATTATTAATTGTTACACTTGAATTGAGATTCAATTTTGCTACGATAACAAATTTCAAACTCGGGATTGAGGATTTTTCATTTACATTATTGTTTGCAATTTAAGATGCATTTGATTACCATTTAATTGTTAAGTCTTTTTCTATCAAATTGTGAACAATTTGATTTGAGCTTGAAATTTAATCTAATTGTAAAACGAATAACAATCATAATAATCAAAGGTAATAATTTAATTCAATTTAGGAAAAGGCTGAAAATGGGAAGATAAAAAATTTAGATGAGATTACATGTTATCTTTTACCATTGAATTAGTTTTCCTTCTTGAATATTATCCTGGGAAGAGAAAAGCTCATTCAGGGTGAATTTCATTCAAGAATCACATTTACCTTTATCATCAACATTATCTCTTCCTCTCTTCCTCTCTTTCTTTACATTCAATTAATCCAAAGAATCAATGGTAATTGTGGATAAAGAAGAAGATTGAAAAAGAGGTTCGAAACTTATTTCCCTTCGTTTTATTTTCGAACAAGAATCGAAAGTTCTAATTTTAAATTATCGCTCACTCGATAACCAATCTTTTTATATAATAGTTATTCTGGTTAGTTTAGACTAAGTAAAATTTTCAAACACAAATTTTCATTAATTTTGACAATCAAAACAAACTCATTAATGATTAACATCATTACAAGTCATCTATTCATCTTTTCCTAATTTTCCTCATCATTATTATCTTTTCAATGGTGATGAGGATGATATCATTTAACCCTTTCTCTTTTCTCATATTTTAAGCATCTTTTTTTCCACCATTATCCTCATCACTTGAGTTACCTATTTAGTTCAATCCTCATTGAGTTCTCATTTCCTGGATTATTAAACTTCGGATATTATTAATACTATTGTTGTTGTCAAAAGCTTTTCCAATATTCATCGCAATCAATTCAATCAAATCGACTAGCCTGTTAAATTGTTGTTGTGACTGCATCAATATGCAATTTGTAATTGGTGGTAATTTATTTAAATTACTTGGTCATTATTGTTTTTACACATCGATTAATTATTAATTGTAATTCTATGGTAATTGTCATTGACTCGGTTGAATTTTTTTTTCATTGTTAGGATTTGATCCTGAAATCCCAGGATTCCCGAGATATTCAATGAAAGTGCAACAAACATTAGGAATTTTTAATTTACGAATCAATAACGTCCAATTAGAAGATGAAGGAGATTACCAATGTCAGGTAGAGAGAAGAAAAATCGTCACAATTAACCAACAGTTAATCTAAATCAATTAAACTTAATCCGATTATCCTTTAATCCAAATTTAGGTTGGTCCAGCTCTTAATAACAAACCAATACGCTCAGGCTCAAAGTTAACTGTGATGGGTAAGTTTGATAATAATTTTCACCACAACCAAGTGAATCAAATTGAATTTCACCATGAAAATATTACTTGTAGCTAACATGACAAGGATAAAATGAAATCGAAGAAGAAATTTCGATAAAATTTAATACTAGAAACTGTTTATACGATTTAGAAGTTAATTTATTAATATAAGGATACGATAAATAAGACATTTCAATGTTTACCTGGATTCTAAAGATGCTGAAAAGGGTTAATTTGAATTGAATATCATAAATTGTTTTCGATAATCATTTTATAATAAAAACTGACAGAATTCATGATAACAATAACTTATTACAAAGCTCATTCTATGAGAAAGAATATGTTAATTGGCTGGTTAGTTTGAGATTTTTCATTAGGCTTCAACAGTTAGTCTGGTTATGAGCTTTACGGCATTTCTAAAAAAACTATTAGTGTTTATCTTCAGAATTTCATAGCATTGTAATAATAATGTATCAATGGTACATAATCTCAGGTTTGAACAGCCTCAGGGTGGATAGTAAGTTTTAAAAGGTAAGTTTTTGAATACATTGTTTGTTGGGATTCTTTACAATTCCATCCACTCTTTTGAGCTCTGATCAGAATCTGAATTTTATCTGAATGAATGAATAAATATGTAACCAGAATATGATATAAGTATAGAAATATAATTCAATTTTGTTAGTTGATTCTTTTCTAGGTTTCTACTTTTTTCATTCGGTAAATAATACATATTGAATAGTTTCAGAACTTTTCGGAGTTTCTCTCTCTCTCTCTCTCTCTCTCTCAAACTCATAACTTTCAGAATCATTTCTGAGCTCAGGTTGATAAAAAAAATAGTGTTATCAAATCTACCTTCTTACTCATCATCTTTCTCACTCTTTGAATACTCACCAATCTATCCTTCAGGTTATCATTGAAAAATATTTATATTTGTCATTATCATGATCATGGTAATTCAGCGGAATTCCTTATGAATCAGAACTTTCTTCCAATTCAATATTGACTTTTTTCCTTCTCCTTTTATTCATTTTCATCATTAATATTTCCATTAACAAAAAGGGTTCATGGCGAACAGAATATGAATCCAATTTCGAAAAATTCTCTTATTATTAAAATTTTAAATTATTCATATTCTTTCTTTCTAAATTGCTGCCATCCGACAATTAGTCTAATTAGCAACAATTAATTTCCATTCAATCTAAAAAAAAAAGTTTTCCTTAGTCTATTAACTAAACTCATTCAACTATTGTAGATAACAATTGTTCTTAGCGAGTTTACTGGAAATGTTTAGTTATCATGAAGAAAAATCGTATCCATAGTGTTTCTATTGTTATCGTGATAACCTTTTGATTTATTGTTTGTCGAACAAAATTGAAGAAAAAAAAAATTTCTTCTATTTCAATCTTTTTTTCTTCCTTCCGTTTCCTACTTATTTCCCACTTCTATTTTTTTTTGCACATCCGTTTCCGCTCCCATGTACTAAATTCCTAGAAAAATAATCTGAACAAAAAGTTTACGTTCAAAACTCCAACTAAAATTCAATCTCTAATCTCTCATAAGTTAAGATTATCATGAATTTTGAATGAATTGAAGGTAAAACTGTCAACCCAAAAGTAAATTTATCAACAGAGTAAACAAATAAACAGCATAAATGATTATCAGTTAATTGTTATCGTTCATAACTAATTTCGAATTTCGGTTTTACCAATTTCGATTTGTAAACAAAAAGTTCTAACTAAAAAAACTTCTAATTCTTTATCAGCTGGACCAAAGGAGGTTCTCATTTTATCTTCCGCTCCAGTTTTAAAAGGATCTTCCAAAACTCCTCATCATAATATTCATCATTCATCATCGTTGCCTTCACCATCATCTTTCACAATATCTTCCACCTCAACTAATTCCGAAGATAATTCAATCCAATTGAAATCTGATTCTAATCATTTCAACAATTATCCAAGTTTAATCTCTTCCAGTGAAACCAGGAAACATCATTACACAATATACGCCAAAGAAGCTCAAAGGATAACCTTAAATTGTAATACTAGCTCATTAACTAAACCGGAAACCAAATTAACTTGGTTCAGAAATAATATCCAATTGAAACAAGGTAAGATTTACACTTTAATTCACCCACCCAAATACACATAGGAATAGGCAATATATCAATAAAAACAAATGATTATTTTTGCATTATCTTTGTCCATTCAAGGAATATCAATATTATCAACATTATCGTCATCATCATCGTTTGTTTCCTACTCAATCTTCACCATGTTTGAATAGGAATAGATGATGATGATGATGATGATATTATTTATGATGAGAAAACAATCTTGCCTATTGAAAGAGGATGATATCAATTCAATGATTCTTGTTTGATCTTATTTACTATTATTTACTTGAATACCCATTATACCCAGAACACTGTAAATATCATTGTCGTTTCATTGAGTATTTTCATGATGACCATTGGGTGTGGATGATTATTATCATGTAGAAAATTATATTAACTTGATCCTAATTATATGTACTTTTTTTCTGTATCAATAGTTAATTCAATGTGATATGATAATTATTCACCGGAAGTAATAATTCTGAGTTGATTATTACTTATATTATCACCATTAGAGTATCAATGAACAGAGTGAAAAGTTAACTCATTCAAGACAATAATCTGAATTGATGAGAATCAAAGGTTTAAGAAAATGTTACATGTTAATTGGATCGAACTGGAACTTTAGATTTTGAAATTTTCCATGAATTTTTTAATTCAACTTGGAATCAGAGTTATTATTAATATTTTCACCTTCGTCTTTTCATATTCTTTCATAGCATAGATATGATGATTTTGACCTTATTATGGAACAGAATTTGATTCAATTGAGTAGGGAAAAGTGACACTTTTAGAATTGGAAAAATTTTCTCTTTCATGAGATGTGAAAAGTTCAGAACTTTTTTTTTCTCAAATATTTTTCACCAAATTCTTATAAATTTTTATACTATTTATCGCCTTTAGGTATTCAGGATCATCATGATTCTTATTATGTATTTATATGTATCGGGAGAAAATGATAGGAGCAAGAGGTGAATCTAATAACTTTTTTGCTCTCTTAAAAAGCTAAATACAAGAATCGTAGTCGATCATGGAAATGACCCCAAACAGTTTCCTCTTCCAATGGTCACTCACCATGCGATTCTGTCAGTGATTATCATTACTGAAGATTTGGTAACATTTTGAAAGGTCATTTATCTTGACCAGTAGCAAAATTTTCAGAGCGTCCAAACCTCATGATCATAAAATGTGATAAAATAAAAATTCCAATTGAAAATTATTCTACTCGGGAATATTTTTTCCTCTCAATGGAAATTATCATGTATCATTAATATCAAACCCTAATCTTTACAGATTGAACCTCATGATAATCATGATAAAGATGATGATGATAACCAATGATGATAAAATACTTTTGGAAATCTGTTTGATGAAAAAATTGAAAGATTGATTGATTTTGTTATAACCTAAATTGATATTTTCACTTTTACTCAATCCCATTTATCATGAAACAATTTGATTGAAATTCAGATTGTAAGCTTAAATTGCTACAATCAATTGGGAATCACAATCTTATTACTGAATATCATGAAAACTTTGTAGAAACTTCAGCTCATCTTATGAACTTTTTTTTCTCCAACTCTGAATTTATTAATAACTCCAATCAAAATAGTATCAATTATAAACAATTATTAGCACTTAAGTCTCAATCGTTGTAACGAATTGAAAAAATGAATAATATTCAGAACTTTTCCACTATTTTGTCTGGTTCATCTGATGAACTTACGATTTCAGGGTAATCAATTCATTTTCTATTCAAGTTGACACAATAGTCGATCCTTATGGATTAGTTTAATTTACCATTGAACAAGAATTAATATAATATTATCATGATTATCAACCATCATGATAACAATGGTAGAAGAAAAAAACTTTTTCATCCATAACTGAACTCCATGAATGATTCAAATGAATAATAACAATAGGTATATATATATACACACACATGGTGATTCAGTTCAGAATTCAGGAATCATATTGAACTTGAAGATGGAAATGATTATCTGATGGTGGGAGGGAAAAAGTTCCAACTCATTATCTAACTGAATAACAATATAACATTGAAAGAGAGAGAGAGAGAGAAGAAAAAATTTCTCATTTCTATTTGATTTGCTGAACAAGGTTAACAACCATTTCGTGATTACATTTAATTAATTACTATCAAAATGCCTGATTCTTGATGGTTAATTTCATGTGGAGATATTAATAGTTATCAATCAACTTTCAATATACTAACTAATACAATTCATTGGAAAAAAACTATTGATTAACTTTAATTGTTACCAAAATGTACAATAATAATCATTTTTGACTTTTAATCATAATTATTGATTGATTACTTTTTGTTTCTCCTCGTAATTACTCATTGATTTAAATCACCAATTTAATTGATTTACAATTTAAATTTCCATCCATTTATCAAGAAGATTAATTTTACTATTTTACTATTTTATTTATTTTTAATTGTTAATTCAGTGTAATGATCAATTATTCAGATTTGGAAACGTTTAGTCATTTGAACTAAATTAATATTATTTAATTTGTATCGTTATTGAAATTGGTTTAATTCTGTTCAAATATTATTTAATTGTCCATGTCGAGAGTTAATTTATTTATAAATTGAACCTGATCAGACTGGTGATTAAATGGTTAGTTAATCAATTGTTTATTTTCACTTTAATTTATCAACAAAGTTACCAATGGAGTAACAATTAATAACCTTTGATTTATAAATGATGTTTTCAAGGGCAATAAATAGTAATTTTTTCCCGTTTTCATTTGATTACAATTAGTTGATTACTTGATAAGCAATAATCATGTGTGTGAATGATGAATTGTATTAGTCTGTTGAACAATTAAAAGATAAAATCATATTAACTGTTTTTTCCTTTGTTTTTGGTCATTTGCAATGACCAATGGTCATTATCATGGTGATAACAATAGTTGTATGAGCAAAAAAAGGGTTGATCCAGATTGAAATTGAGCTTCTCAAGCAAATAGAGTAACTTGATTGGCTTGATGGTGGCAAAATTATGACCAGAAGATGACCAAACATCATCCATCAAATTCAGAAAAGGTTTTTATTCTTGACCAATGAAATGACCATGATTGATAGGTGTTTCAGTCAATAATAATAATCAATGAGGATAAAGTGGTCCATCATCAAGATCATCATCATGACTAAAGGAAAAAAAGTGATGAGAATGGAAAATGACTACTGGTCAGTTTACCTTAGATTCTGAGTAATTCCTTCAATGGCCAAGGAAACTTGATGAAATTTCTCCACCCTTACAAACCCACTGGTCACTTTCAGTTTAATATGTGAACCCAAGGAAAGTGTTAATGAGACATTAGTACCAATTAAAGTATAATGTTGAAACAAACTGGACAAGTGATTCAATAGATGGTCAAGAATAACATTTATCATCAATATCAATGTCCAGTGAAGACAACGAGATCAACTGATGATAAAGATCCGCAAAAGTTAGATTAATGTTTACTTTGGTTTCTATTTTTATCTCTCTTGTTGTTGGTATCATCATCTCTATGATTATCTTTATATCCTCCCATACTGTCCACTATTTGAGTTAATTAAAGGCTATAAGGAGAGTCCATTGAATCAAGATGAATGAAACCAAACCAAGAAATGTTCAACTAAATTAGATCCAGATAAATTATCAATGGAAACTAAATCAAGAATTGACAAAAGTTTCTCATTATTATCAATATGATCATTAATTAACTATTGAAGATCCTGATTTTGATTTTATCAATCAAGACCAGTCTAATCTTTTGGTGTATTATCTTGATTATCATTGGCTAATTTATTAATAGTTGGGGATAAACTTTTATGCAAATTGTGATTGAATTTTAATTGTCCAAACGATGAACTGTAAAAGTAATCTACTTTTTTTTGTACGATCAACTAATTAATCCACTTGCCTTTAGCCTAATATCATTAATTGACTTTTAAGTATCCTTGACAATTAAACCTACTCAAAGTTAATTCAAGTGGTTGATTATTAAAAATCCCCGAAGACAAACAATCAACTAATACTCTTAGTGGTTAAAATTAATTGTTCCAGTAATTGGATATTCGCCTAATGGTTTATCAAAAAATTGATTAGCAAAACCAATTCTCGAACATTAAAAGTTCAGTAGACACGAATTCGTTGACCATTTTGGTCATGTTATTGTAGATCGATGAAGGAAAAACTTCAATTGTCTGAGTATTTCTCGAACAAGCAAATGATAGTTTAAATGAATCAACAAATTCACACCATAAATTCAAATAATTACCATGGTACATGTATGATACACCTTCATGGAGAGGGGAATCTTTCCTGAGTCTAGCATTGATTTCCGGGAATCGTTACTCATGATAAAAGCACAAAAAGCAATCGACTTGATTGTTATTTATTGTAATTATAACTAATGATAGTAAACCTTTTTGTTTCGTCAGAATCATTTCTCTCTCTCAATCTTTTCATCATCATGATATCGTTGACTGAGGTAAGAGAGGAAAAAAGTTCCGAGCTTATCTTTCCCTGTCAACGAGGTTTAAGCCACTTCTAATGGTATTGATGATACAATTAATGATGATTCTGATAATAGACGAGGATTCAGATCGGGTTACAAGGTTAGATCATTCTTATCATCTTTCGTATCTTCATATCCATCTTCATCTTCATTATATCATCTTTATCTTTTTGTTTTTCTTTCTTTTTTTCATCTTAAAACCTTTATTTTCACTCAGAGGGATAGGAGTTTCTCTTACAATCTACCACAGTTTCAGAAATCTTCATCCACCATGAAACCTTTAGCTCATGATGATCAATTCAATATCATGTTCATCAATCAACTGATTGTCATATCAGAAGCTAAATTAGTTACTAGATTAATCTTATTTTTTTTCCTTCTTGTTATTTCATTTCCTTTTCATGATAATTTCAACCAATTATTATTCTTATTGATCTTGGAAATTATTTATTCTCACCTTTCGATTCTTGTATTGATGATAAAATTAATTTTCTATCGATATTTTTATCGATTTAATCGAGAAAAGATTCAAATTATTCATAAACACAATCGACATGATGATCTATCGGTTGAATGTTTATTTTTAGAAATCTGAACAAACTAAGATTAATTTGAAATTAATCAGAGTCAATCATTGACTTAAAGTATTTCAAACAAGATTATAATTGGATTAAAAAAAGTTCGTAAGGATTTAAATAATATTGTTCAATTAAGCTTGAGATTGATTGTTTAAAATGATTATGATAATCATTTGGTTAAGACTTACAACTTACAAGTCTCAATTTAATCATGAAATGAATGAGTCTATGGTTCAGGGTGAATCCATCTGATCTTTTCATCGATTAGATTCTTAGGCTTGTTAATAATCAACTCACAGTTGAAAGTAAAATGAGTAAACAATTTACTGATTGTTGAGAATCGAGCATCAGTTTACATTAGATAACTTCATTATCTATTCAATTTGAAACCCGGAAATGAGATTAATTCAACTGAATATGTATTAATTTCGGAGAAATGAGAAGGTGGGTTGAGAGAGAGTATGAATTAAGGTATTAGAATATGAAAGTTTCATAAGATGTTGACTTTTCAGTAGAAAAGAACAAAAAAAGAACAAAAATTCTCCAACAAATTTAGAGTTTTTTATATTTTTTCGAGCTTACGAACTTGAACAATCTTCGTATTCTGTTATATATTTAAATTGCTTATTTGGAAATTCCCAAGTTACTATTAAGAGATTTTGATCAATTCAGAATTTTAATTTTACTTTTCTTCTGTTCAGATATCATCATGTTCATCATCATCATTATCTGAGAGAAAAAGAAATATAAAAAAAAGTTCTAAACTTTTTTCCTTCATCATGTTTTCAATGACAATTCACAAGTAAAAATATTTCCAAATTATGATTCACAATTTAATTGTTAGTTGATTAAATTTAATATACTACCATGAATAACGACAATTAATATATATCAATGTTATTTATGAGCATGATGAATAAGAAAAAAAAAGTTGAACATGATTAAATTAAATGCTGAGATGATTTAAATTGTTATGATGAGACTTGTCACTAGAGGATAAAATTACAGTGATTACCAATGAGAAAAGTTAATTGTCAGTGGAAAATATTAATTTTTTTTTATTGATTTAGATGATTATTGATTAGGTGATGTAATTAAATTGTGTTACCATGTTTCAGTTTTATCTTTAGAATCATTTTGTTAGATGTTTCTTAATTGTTGCCACTAAATTTTCTCATTATTATTATGATGATAATCATTATCATCATCATGAATCTTGAGCCAATGATGGATAATGACTGTAATTAATGCTAATTAAACATCATATTCATTGATTGCTTGGATAACTTGAAATACTCATCACGAACTTAATTTCTCATGTGAAAGTCTCAATTAGATGTTGATCAATTTAGAAACACTAATCAATATCTAATCATCATTATTACCATAATGATTAAACAAAACTAAGGAAAACTTAATCAACTAAGAAGATGAAATTAATTGTACAATCGTTTTTTACTTTACTAATCAACAAAATGGTCGTTTTCAATATGATTGTTTCCATTCAATCAATTGAACTGATGCTTCTGATTAAATTGATTATATTTCTTGAATGGACAAGTCTTGTACTCATCTCTTTCTAGTTAATTGCTCCAATGATATTGATGATTATCGTCTCTGTCTCTCTGTCTTTAATTGTTTTACCAGATTCTTATACGATTGTAATAACCGATGGACTTGGTCCCAATGGTAAATTAACTTTAACCCGATCAATATTAACACTATTTGTTAAACTTGATGATAATGGTGTCCAGTATACATGTAAGGCCATCCATCCAGCTATTCCTCGTCCACTGGTCAATACAATGTCCATCAGTGTCTTAGGTAATTATTTACATTTGATTATGTTTTTTTTTCTTCTACATTTCTTTATTGTTAATTGTTTTGTAAGTAAATTTTTAATTATCAAGATTAACAAGATCCCATTGATCCAATATGAATATCAAATAACAACAATATTACAAATTGAAATCAATATGTACTTTTATTGTTAACATTAATTAAACATCGTAACATTCAATGTTGACTATAAATCACTAAGGCAAAAAAATATCCAATTAATTATCATTACAATCATTAAATAGTAATCATTAGTTTGAATGATTCAAAAGACGGAAACAAAAGAAAAGTATCAATTTATAATCAATAAAATCAATGGAACCAGGAAGAAAATAGATAATATTAAATACATCAAGTTTGATGAGAAGCCAAAAATTAACTCGATCTAATTAAAACCATTCAAGTTACGAGCAATTGGATGTTTCGAATGAGTTCAAAAAGTTACTTCCGACGCCGGGAATTGAACCCGGGCCTCCTGGGTGAGAGCCAGGTATCCTAACCACTAGACAACGCCGGATGAGATAATAATGTGACGAAAGATTTTAGTTTTGAATAAGCAACAGATTTAATTGTTTTTGATTGTGTCTTTTAGGCTTTTGATTTCAATTAGGTTCAACTTTTTTCAACTTTGGATAAAACTCATTGGACTTTGGAGGGCTAATTTTATTTATTTTGTTTATCCCTGGATTTGGTTGTGAGGATTGGGATTTTTTTCACTCGATTTAATAGATTTAATAGAAGTTTTTTGCTTCATTCTATTGTTGCTTAATTGTTGGATTGAAAGATTATTTTTTATTAAAACTCGAAAAATAAAATTACCATCAATAGATAATTATCAGTGATTGATGTTTCAACTTTTTCTGATTTTCAGAGTTTCATCTTCATCAGAATAGATTTTCAATATTTTCTTTCTTCTCATCCTTATCTCCATCATCTTGTTACACTTTTCTAGTCGACAATTTTTCATGTTACAATTTTATCAGCTACTTTTCGACTGTTACCTTGTGAATCTGTCAGATGATTAGCCGTAGGCGAACAATTAAGTATCATGAAGATAATCCATTTGATATATTATCAAATTGTGATGATTTGTATTTTTTTCCTCGCTTAGTGTCTTGTTTACATGAATGTCTTGAAAGACATGAGAATCCATCAATGGTGATTTTGTTGAGTGAGATGAGGATAAGTTGTTGTCTGTTATAAGATGATGATGATAAGAGAGAGAGAGAGAAACAGGAACTGAGGTGGAGAGTATGAATTTTGGAGGACCACAAGAGAGAGAGAGAGAGAAATTCTGACACAAGATGAAGATAATTGTTGTTATGATATTGGTCTAGTTGACGAGATGAATGGTTCGAAGTCAATGGTTGATAAAAGTGTAACATTTTCCACTTTCAATCATGATTCCCACCTCCTTCATATCCTCCTTTTCATTGAGTTATCATTCATCATCCATCTTAAATCATTTCTTATCCCAAGATGTTAATCCAAATGTTGAGAATAGGGAATGATAAAAGAGAAAATTTCATTGAAATTTTGTTCCATTTTTATCATCCATACGTTAATAAAATAGGTTTGGGTCGTAAACATCCAAACTCATTTGAGCTAAGATCAAAACAGCTAAATTAGAGAAGACAATTTAGATGTCGTGTTACAGTTTTGTTTGTTTAATTTAAGGCAGATTTAGACGATTTTTGATTTGCTTATATAAGGGTAAGTTAGCTTTGATCGAATTACAGTTTTTTCAGAGCTGAATAAGACTCAGAGAGCAGAATTCATCTGAATTCACTCCGTCAAATATTCAACGGACTCAAATTCACTTTAGCTGTTTTGATCTAAGCTCTTTTCGTTTAGCTATTTAGACCTTAGCTCTAATGAGTTTGGTTGTTTACGACCCAAACCGTGAAGGGAAATTATAAATAAAAAAGAATCAAGTTCTCAAAAAATTTGTTGATTCTTTTTAAGAACCTTATTACTTCCTTGGTTAAAAAGTGGCCCAATCTCCGCCAAAACTATACAGCTGAGAGAAATCATCATTTGGACCTATCCTGAAAATTTGTTGAAGATTGAAAATTGTTGAAAATCTTTGCTTTTCTTGAACAATTAAAATTCTTAATGATGTCTGATTGATGGTGATTAATCTGCAATTGGATTCTTTTTTCTTCCAGCTTAGCAGAACTTTTTTACCTTACAATCTCATTTTCAGGGGAAGAGAGAGATAGAAAAAATCAATCCAAGTAACTGGGTGTTGATATGATTTCACTTGTGGGAGTTAATTCAATGGATGTGAAACAGCTGATGATGGTTGATTCATTTACTAATATATATTAGCTGATTGTTTACCAATGATGATGATAATGATGATAACTAATCTGTTCACTGTTTTTCAGTGGGGGATTTTCATTTCATAATGTATTGATGATTATATCATGAGAAGGGAATGAAAAACTCATTACTGATACAATCATGTTTCTCAATCACTACAATCTATTGATTCATTTATTGGCAATGAAAACCCATTCACAGTTAAGGTCAAGAACTTTTTTACCTCTCATTTGGTTCATTACTCTCATGGTTAACTTAATGTAATGATTATGATGATAATGATTGTACAATCGATAGTAATTTCAAAAGCTAATCAAATGTTTACAAATAAATAAGATAAAAGATTCCTAATCAGCTCATCGTGAAAGCTCATCCAATTGGTCATATATTGAACTGAATAAAAATAAACATAAACATACCGATAATATTGACCATCATGAATGAAATTTCACCACAATAATTAAAATATCAAAGCAATGAGGAAGAGAGATGTCATTCCAGTTAATCATAAAGCTTCATGTCAATTGTAAGAATCATTTGATAATATCATGAATGAGATCAAGATGATGAGATGAATTAAGATCAAGAAGTGTCATTTATGTAATTCTTAATAATGTCTGATGATGATGAATCTGCAATAGGAATTTTTTTTCCTGCTTATCAGAACTTTTTTATCTTCCAATCTCAATTTTCAGGGGAAGAGAGAGAGAAAAGGATATGAGAAGAAGAGGAAAAAAATGAGGAGAACTCAAAATTTGTCGGTGAATGAGGTTTCCATGTTATCTTCATGATGTTTCCCTTTTGAATTTACTTGAATTAAATCATCCAACCGTTTCTATCATTGTTATTTCATGATAAATAACATTGTTTCAGTCAAGATTATATTACATGGCTCAATGGTGAAACTCTTTGTGAAATTTTCAGAGGCCAGATGAAGATGATTGTTGTTGGTTATTATTATTATTGAAGTTGAAACCTTTAGAATATGAAATTCAGGAAAATGATATAATAATAATAAGTAAAAGAATTGAGATTATTCAAGTTAATTCAGTTTCCTTTCGGTTGTTATGAAACATAAATTGTCTTCACTTTTCTTGATTAAATATAAGAAATAAAAAAAGAGTAAGTAACTTACTTACCATTCAAACTAAACAAATATAAATTCAGTTTCCAACAATAAAACGTATATACCTTTCATTGTAAGAATCAAGGTAAATTGTTATCTTTTTAAATTGTTCAGAATTCATATTATCTTCATCGTCTCAATATCCATAAATATAAGGATTCAATTGATCATAACAATAATTCAAGAATAACGATTATTAATCCAGTTCCAGAGTAATTGTTGTTGTATGTTTATCTTTTTAGGCTCCACAATTAGAAATGTTTAATATTAAAGTGAGAGAGAAACAGAGAGAAATTAACACAATTATAACAACAATTAACTCATTTTTGTGTATTCCTAATGGATTTGAATATGATTCGAATTGTGAAATTAAACAGATTCCCCATTGATTTGTTTTCTGATGTAAATTTACCTGTCGATTTGATAGTAAATCATATTATAAGTTTTTTTTCCTCTTCCCTATGATTTACCTGTGTTAGTTTAGCTTTTTTTTTGCTATTCCACAATTATAATTATTAAATATTGTTATTATCATTACCATTATCAGCATTGTTATTATATAAAATTATATATTTCTTGGATCACTTAATGTATATTAACATCATTAGAAAAAGTGAAATTATCATTATACTGATTAGTTAAGTAGTGGATTGTAAATCACATTTAACTGTAAATATCATTAGCTTTACACCCTTTATAATAAACATGATGATAATGTAATGGTAATCATGATAATACAATCAGAGACAATTAACTTCTCTCTCTCTCTGTTAATTTAATAAGAAATCATTTCCAATGTTAACTGTTGGTGTGTAATTGTTATGATTATTGTTTCCAGTTTTCTTGTTGTTTTTTTCCTACTTCTTGATTTCCTTTGATTGTTTTGTACTTTCTTTGATTCTGTTGGTGTATTCGTATTGTTGTTTATAATCATCATCATGGTGGAGGTGGTGATTGTGGTGATTGTGTGGGTATTAATCTAGCTTTTTGGTTAACTTGATTACTACATTAGATTGCTGTTTAATTTATGATTAGTTGGGTTAGTTAAGTTATTCTGGTAAATTGTTGCTTTCATTTTATCTCAACCTTCAAATCAATTGTATGAACAATGATAATTAACCATGAACCTGAATTTAGATATTGAAAAGAAATGAAAATATTAATCAATATTAATAGAGACCTGGAAATCTCAATAAATTGTTGAAAATTTAATATTAACTAATGGTAACAATTAAGTTTCCATAAATAGTTTTTTGTTTGTTATTATATCATTGCTACTATTAAGGTTTACTATTGATACTAATCATCTGTATATATATTAATTGAATTTGAGAGTAAATTTAATTAGATGAGGTAAAAGTAAATGTTGAGGATTAATTGTTGAAAAAAGGTTAAACTTAATTAGCTAACCTTTTACCTCTTTTAATTAAATTCTCACTTGTAATTATCTCAACTTAATTGTCTACCAGTGATACTCACCCATTTATAAATCATTCACTAATTTAATGTAATTAATACACATTCAAATCCAAATACACTATTAATCCAATGGAAAGTTGTTGTTTAGATCTAACAAATAACACTAATTAACATGGACAGTTAATCATCACCTTAGTTTGATTAGAATTGGTTAATCACAATTAATTATCCCAAAAAATGATTTAACTTGAAGTCACAAATAACAAAAAGTAATTTCTGTTGAAACATTGAGATCCAATTTAATTGTAATTGTAGATCATAGAGACAATTAAATTGTTGATTGTGATGAATGTGAATCAAATATGATCACCTGGGCACAAACAATTAAATTGGAAAAGCAAATAATTTAAATTCTATCCATTTAATCAATAGAAACCAATGGAGAGCTAAATTGTTACCTAATTGTAATTTTCTGTAATCAATAATCTAATCTATTGGTATGACAATTTAAATGATAATCTTTTCCTTGTTAGTTTAACTCTTCATTTCTTTATCTCAATGATTAACTAATCATTTTCTTATGGTTAAATTAACTGTTAATTGTAATTTAATTAAGATGGTTGAATATCCTTTCTCGTAATCAGAAAAGGATTAACAGGTAAAGTAACATTAGTCTTCACTTTCAATTGGATCTTTGGTTAATCTTACCTTTTGAACAATTTTATTTTCGCAGATCTTGGATTAAGATTAATTAGATTGTTGTCTTATTTTCTATTCTATTCTATTTTGTTTTATTTAATTTTTTCTTCGTTCTCTCAATGTTCTTACTTATTCCTCTAATTGTTTATTACTATTATTATTATTTATCTCCTCTTTTAGTACCTCCCGGAACTCCTCAAATTGAAGGATATACAAATGGTGATCAAATAAGTGCCTTAGATACCTTAACCTTAGCTTGTATCTCTAGAGGTGGTAATCCCTCACCTAAATTACATTGGTTGAAAGATAATTTAACTGTTGATACAAGTTACTCTTCATCAATTGATGGTAAAGATTCAACTAATACCTATTCATTTGTGGTCAAACCAAATGATAATAATGCTTTGGTCACTTGTGAGGCTGTTAATCTCATCTCTACTAAACCATTGACAGCAACAATTAAACTGACCGTTTTATGTAAGTACAATTTTCTTTTGGTAAATTGTTTTTATCTTTTTTTGTTTACAATCAGAAAAGTTAATTCTTGATGAATGAATGAATCAATCAATCAATCAATATTATTATTATTGAATTTTCCATCACATCTTATAGATGCTCCTACAAAAATTATCATCTCTGGTCCAATCGAGGGTAAACTTGGTGATAAATTAAATTTAGAATGTACAATTGGGCCTTCAAATCCCGTTACCGATATTACCTGGACAGTTGATGGTTTACCTATGAAAGGAACTGATTCTCGAGTTGAAATAATTAAGGAAGGATATAAGACAATGTCCAATTTAACCGTTACTTTAACATCAAGTCCAAACAATTATAAAACCGTTACTTGTTTTGGTCACTCAAAGATGCTCAAGGAAACCATTTTTAAATCAATTCAAGTTCAAATTATCTGTAAGCCTTTTAATTGATTCGTATCCTTTTCTTGTATTATTGTTACAATTGTTTTCAGGATAATCTTTTCAGTTCCAAATTTTAATATCCTAAATCTCGGAGTTTAATATAATCTAATTCCTTGCGTTAGTCTTTTTTTTTCACTCGTGATAATCAAGTAATTGAGGAAATTTAAATTAGGTCAAAGTTTCAGTCATGTTAAACTTAATTGTTGTTGACAGAATGTCTCATTTAATTGTGGATGATTAATATGAATCACTGGAAATTATGATTTTTATATTGTTGAATTACAGGCTAATCATTAATCTATTCACATATTTCAAGTATTCTGTGAACTCAAAGACAATAAGAAAGTGGATCAATTGATTGATAATTTATCATTTCCATGATTAAGAATCTGATTTTTATTACCTCATTAACTTTACTGACAATCAGCTGGTTACATTTTGACTAATTTGTTAACTAACCAATTTAGATCAACCTGGACATCCAAATATCATTGGAATTAAAAATGGAACTAATTTAGTCGAAGATGAAAGTGTCCGACTTGAATGCCTATCGACCGGAGGTAATCCGTTGGCAACGTTAAAATGGTACAAAGGTTATGGTTCTGATCGGGAAATAAGTGGCCTTTCAACTATATCAAGTTCAGGAGTTTCAAGTATCTTAATGATTAGAGCTAAGCCTTCAGACAATGGAGCAACTTACCGGTGTGAATCCTCAAATCGAGCCACTTCCGAGCCTTTGGTAACTCTGGTTACTTTAAATGTTACCTTCATGTCCTCAACAATCAAAATAACCTCCATTCCTAAACATCCTAAACATGGTTCGGATGTTAAATTGTTTTGCGAAACGGGCTCATGTAATCCGACCTGTGAGGTTACCTGGTTTATCAATGGAGTTCTCATGAAACATTTGACCGATGAAATCAGCGATGGTCAATATAGCGGTAAAAATACTCGTAGTTTATTAACTATACCGGTAACAGATAAACACGATCAGTCAATTGTTGTTTGTAAAAGTTACAATAAACCAATGGAAAGGACAATCGAGAAAAATTATCAACTTCGTGTACTACGTAAGCTGTTAAATTGATTGTAATCTCTTTCAAAGTTACTAATTAGTAATTAACTTTTTCTTAATTGTTTGAAACCACAGATAAGCCAAAATTTTTCACTCCATTGTTTCAAAAGTTTGATGTTACGGAGGAAAATTCATTCATCATCAACATGACTGCTATCGGATTTCCGATTCCTCTTAATTATAATTGGTATAAAAATGGAATGAGTTTACTTGAGGAATTACCTGATAGATTATCTTCTCGGGGAAAAGTTAAAAATCAAGAATCAGGTATAATTAAAGAAACTAATTATCCAAATGATCTTAAACCGGATCAATTTAATGAGAGGATCATCGTTGATGGGCCGATTCTGAGGATACCGAAAGTTGAAAGGTACGATGGAGGTGAATATGAGTGCGAAGCAAGTAACAATGAGGGAACCACGAAATCGACCATTGTCCTTAATGTACTATGTAAGTTGACTATTGGTTTAATTTGATAGTTGTTCGGATTAATTAATAGGTTTTCTAATTGTTTGTTTAGTTGGTGCTACGATTGTTAAAACTTCTGAAACAGTTTTAACAGAGCTCAGTGGTTCGGCTTCAATGGTTTGTGAAGCGATTGGTAATCCATCTGATGAGATGACCATTGATTGGTACAAAGGACCAGCACCAGGTCAACCGTTGACATTAACTGATTCTAGAATCACTGTTGATAGGGAAAAGGGTCGGTCGATATTACGATTCTCTGATGTCCAATCAACTGATGAAGGTTATTACATTTGTCGGGCTTCCAATGGTATTAAAAGTCCTTCCATGGCCAAATTAAAGTTATCCCTTAAATATAAACCATTAATTGTTAATAGAGTTCCAATTGTTGCAATTGATGAAGGAGCTGATATTGTACTTACCTGTTCAGCTCGAGGAATTCCCGAAGTTCATTTTAAGTGGGTTGATTCAATTAACAAAGATATTGGATATACTCGAGAAACCCGATACTCGCCTGATAGTGTTTACCGTTATATGGTTTCTCGAAGTCGAAGTGAAATTGATCCTGAACTTTACGAGTCTAAACTATTGATTAGGAAAATTCGAGTTGAAGAGTTTGGTTCAAAGTTGAAATGTATCGCTCTTAATGAACGTGGATCTGAATTTACGGAGATCTCATTGAGACCCAAAAGTCCACCCGATCTTATAACTAATCTGACAATTGTTAGGGTTGACCATCGATCGGTCAGCTTATCATGGTTACCCGGTTTTAATGGTGGACTACCACAGTTTTTTAAGGCCAAAGTTTGGCCCATTTTTGGACGCGATTCCGATTCAACTTCAACTTTTTACACCAAAGATCATCAAAGCAAATCTCGCCTTACAGAGGAAACCAATGAAACCATGTTAACCATTGGTGGATTAAATTCACGCCAAGAATATGGAGTAATAATTATATCAACTAATTCACTTGGTTCATCAATTGAATCTCAATCTAAATCTCAATTACCACAATCAACTAATTATATTTCTTTTACAACTTTATCACCTGATGTTTCCACCAATGGGTCACCATTAATTGACAATTCTTCATCCTCATCCAATGGATCACCTTTTGACCAAGCTAAATTAACTCTTATTCTGGTGATAATTACCATGGGTATTTTAATTGCTTTAATCAATTGTGCCTTAATTTTGTTTTGTGTGAGACATAAAAGTTGGAAATGGTTGGCTAATAATGCCATTCCCGATAAAAATGTGACCTCAAACGGAGTCGGTCAATTAGGTCATATTACCGATGGTCCTGGAAGCCTTAATAAATCATCAATCCTTGGTAATAGTCACACAATTAACTCTAATAATAGTAATGGTATTCCAGGTAATCAAATTAATCAGCATCTTCATCAGAATAATAATAATAATCATTTTGTTCATTTAAACGGGATTCTTAAGAAACCATCAACAGATGATTATCATCGTAATCATATTGAACCAATTGTCGAACCCGAAATGATACCGATGGGAATGACTTCTCATGCTCAATTATTAGATAATGGAACTGTTATCGTTAAGAATGTAATTAATTCTGATTGTTCACATTTCCATCAACCCGATTGTGGCCCAACTCTATGTGATTGTAATAATTATAAGTCCAATGATATAACATATTGATTGGATTCCAGTTAATCAACTGACAAACAAAGTTAACAAATATATTTATCTTTTATTATCAATATTATATTGTAATTGTATTAATATAATTAATCATCTACCGTCATGATTAACTCAAGTATTTGTTTATAAGGTTTTTAGACCATAAGAAAAAATAACTGTTTAATTGTATTGTTTTATTAAAAAGAAACAATTTAAAAATCTATTCTGTAAGAAGAGAAATCAATTTAATTCCATTAATCTTTAATAGAATTAATTAATTGTTACTAATGATTATATTTTTCTGTTAAATGTCAACCTAAATAAAAGTCTTTATTTACTGAAGAAATTATATTTTTTTCTACCTTGTTTTGTCAATCAATTAGTTGATTGTTGTTAATTGTGATGAGAAAAAATTATCTTGATACTTACTTTTAATCATTCAAATAATCAACTTGATTTCTATTGATTGTTGCTATGGAATTGGATGTTTTTTCTTGATCAACTTGAGACAAAGTCAAATTGTAATCTTTTAGGGAAAACATCAACACAATTAAATTGTAACAATTAGAATCAACAATGTCCAAGGTAATTATTATGTATTTATAACAAAATTCTTGATTAAATATAAGTAAATTTGTTGAATTTCTCTCGACTAATTTGTTCAATTACTTAATTAGGTGAAATTATTTTCCTACTGGAGAAGCTCATGTTCCTATCGGGTGAGAATTGGTAAGTTTCCCAATCTTTGAATGTCTAATTGTTCACTAATTTAATTATACCAATTGATTTGCAGCTCTTAATTTGAAAGCAATTCCTCATGAATATGTGACAATTAACTTGGTAAAAGATGGAGGTGAACAAAAGAAAGATCATTTCCTGAAGATTAACCCGTTTGGTTTCATTCCATCATTGGAGGTTAATGGTGACAACAATCAAAATCAATAATATTTGAATCATTGGCGATAATTGATTATTTAGAAAACATTAATCCAGAGCCATCATTGTATCCAAAAGATTTAATTGATCGAGCAAATGCCATTGCAATCACCGAATCAATTAATTCAGGAATTCAACCCTTACAGAATCTATTTGTTCTGGCAGAGATTGAAAATCTTGGCGGAAATAAAGACCAATGGGCTAAACAATTAATCACCAAGAAATTTAAATCATTGGAAAATATAATGACCAAAACTGCGGGCAAATATTGTATTGGTGATACAATTACAATCGCTGATGTTTTCTTGGTTCCTCAGGTTTACAATGCTTATCGTTATGGTGTCGATATGAGTCAATATCCAACAATCGAACGGGTTAATAAATTGTTGGAGGAACACGAAGCTTTCAAGGCCGCTCATCCATCCGTTCAACCCGATGCACCAAAACAATAGATGGATAACTGATCACGAATTGTGAAAATTTTGGATTGACATTTATGTTAAAATTGAAATCATTAAAGTTCATCTAAACTTTAAACACGATTCAAACCGAATAGACAACTTAATTGTTGACTCTTTTGTTTTCTGTTTCTTCTATGTAATATCAAAAACAGCCTTTTAATTTTCTTATCAAAAGGTTTAGAGTTAGATGAAAATTAATTAGTATAAGTTGAGAGGTTAACATTTTTGTTGAGAGAAAAATTAATCTTTTCTTAATGGAATGTTCTTCTTCTACTCCTTCTGGTGTAACAATCATCAGTTGTAGTTCATCACCGGTTGTAATTTCTCTTTCAGCAGCAGCTAAAAAGGCATCTTTAAGAATTGCAATAGCTTTCTCTTTGGTTATCACGGCCATTGATTCGTGGATAACAGTTTGATTACCTTTACGAATGATACAATCAAGGAAAGGTTGAATAAGAGAACAAGCAGCTCCTTGAGCTCGATAGGTATGCTTTTCAGTAGACCCAACGGGATCATATGAGTAGACGTGTCCTTGTCCATTAGAATCCAAACCAGCGACCATGTTAGCGACATAATAAGGGAAAAATCGCTTCTGATACAACATATTTGAAACCAATTGAGCGGTGGCAACAGTTGAGATTGGCTTATTGTTCTCATACAGATAATACTGTAAACGAAAGTGAAGAGCTTTGTTAAAGGTAAGACTATCACACCAACAGCCACAACTTCCAAATACGGTAGATGAGGTGAGCTTGGTAATTTTATCCTGATTACGAGATAAAATACTATAACCCGAAGAAAGTCGAGTATCAGCAGCCATCACAACAAATCCATCGCCTCCAATTGAAGCGATTGTTCCTCCATTTTCGGCATAAGGATAGAAACCTTGAACTTCTTTTAAAGCTGATCCATGAGGAGGTTCTTCAGGTAAACTAATCATCATTTTGCTAGAGAAAATAAAATTAAATGACAATAATCAGTAAATTAATTAGAAAAACAATTAAACAACAATTAGAATTGAGAAAATAAAAATTAAATTTCCAAAATGACCAAACAAAATTTTCTGCAAAAAAGAGGACTGTTACCTAATTTCAAAGAGAATTTGGAATCGATATTTTCTATTTTCGATATTCGATATTTTTAATTGATCCGATATTTTCTACAATAAGTTTTGTTTTGATTCATTAAGTTTAATTTAATTCTAAAACTGTAATTTGTTCATTTATGATAATTTAAGGAATTTTTGTTATTCCAATTAGTTAAACATGGTTACTCCTTTGGCTCCTTCTTTGTCTTTGAGTTACGTTGAACCTTTTTGGTTCTCAGGTGATCGAGTTATTGATGAAGATGCTGAGCTTACAAATTTAGAGAAAGAACAACAAAGTCAATATAGTGAATTGGTTCAAAAATATACTGAATATTTACCTCAATCTCAACCGAATGAACCTTATGAGGAAGATGAAGAGGAAGAAGAAGAAGATAATGATGATGATGACGAAGAAGACAGTGGATCTAATGGTAAGTTGGACAAATTATTGACAAATGATTTTCTCTTTTCTTTTAATATGTTCGAAAGGAGAATTTTTTTTTCTTCTCCATTTAAATTCTATATTACTTTTGTTAATTTATATTCTCTTTTTTCTCTTATTCATTTTATCTATTAGAAGATGATAATGATGAAGAACTTGAAGTTGATGAGATGCCTTTCAATCCTGATTCACCGATAATCAACATTTCATGAAGAAAACAAAAATTGATCAATGTTTATGTTGTTTTCTCTTTCGGATATTTTTTCCTCTAATAATTTTTTTCCTTTCAATTTTTTCTTTCATTATTTCTCAATGTTTACTCACCACATTGAAATGTCAAATATACACTCACCTTAACTGTTGGTTAAGAGCAATTAACTAATTGAATGTAAATCAATTCTCTTTCTAAAATAATATTGATTAAAAATGTTACTCCGCTGAGAGAAATATAATTCAAATGTTACCGCTCTTCTTTTCGATCTGATCCATGGTATCCAGATATCGAATACCGAACTTGAATATCGAATCTTGCAAAAGATTCTTTTTTAAATTTTCTTTCTTTTGTCAAATTTAATTTACTTTTTTTCTTTTAATTGTTGCTCATTTAATTAATTCACTTTCGAGTTTATCTTGATTGTTAAAAGAGATGAGAACATACGGTGATAGACCCACATCTTTCCAATTAGATGATAAAGATGGAGAGTCTTATTATATCGGTTCAGAGGTAAGTTGTTTTGGTTTTGTTTTCTTAATTGAAACTAATCTTAATTAATTATTTGGTTTGTTTTATGTGTTTACTTTTGATCATTTTGTTTAATTGATTATTTTCTACTACCTTTAGGTTGGAAACTATCTTCGTATGTTTAGAGGTTCTTTGTATAAACGGTATCCCTGTTTGTGGCGTCGATTGGTCACCGTTGATGAGAGGAAAAAGCTTGCTGCTTTAGGTAAAATTTTAGAATTTTGGAATTGAAAAGTTGATTTATGAATAATTTATTTATTGGATGATAATTTTATTTATGTAAATTTTACTTTCTTTTGTTTCTCAAAAGGTTTGGGTCCACACAGTTTGGCTACAAATATCACTCTTGTCAAGGCAAGTGAAGTTGATGAAATTTTTCAGGGTCGCGATGAAAAATATAAGGCCATCTCTATATCTAGTGAACCTCAAACTCAAAGGTAATTTTTGCTTTTAATTTAAATTTGATTGATTAATTGGTGGGAAATATTTTAATTGTTTGGACAATTCTTTTTACCTTTTACTTAGAGAGACTAAATCAAAGAGAGCGAATTGGGTCCATGCGTCATTACCCAACAGTAGTCATCATCTTGATGCTGTTCCATGTTCTACTCCAGTCAGTCGAAATCGTCTTTCTGGTAAAAGAGTTCGAACTTTTCCTTTAGCTTTTGATGATTTGGATCCTGGAATAATTAATGAAAATGCTAAGCAACCTGATGTTCTTGTTCCTATTCGTCTTGACATGGAAATTGACGGGCATAAATTAAGAGATACATTCACTTGGAATAAAAATGGTAATATAACAAACTTCCATCTAAATATTTGATAAAATTGATGATTATATTGTTTATTTTATTTGCCTTTTTTTCTTTTAGAACAATTGATTACCCCCGAATTATTCGCTGAAGTACTTTGCGATGATTTAGATCTTCCAACTGCAGCATTTGTTCCAGCCATTGCTCAGTCAATTCGACAACAAATTGAAGCTTTTCAAACTGATATTCTTCTTGAAGAACAAACCGACCAAAGAGTCATTCTTAAGGTAAATAATTTCAAACTTTAATATCCAAACAAAATTCTAAATATTTTTACTTTCATACTTTCAATAATAGTTAAATATTCACGTTGGTAACATTTCTCTTGTCGATCAATTTGAATGGGATATGTCACAGAAAGAAAACAGTCCTGAGCAATTAGCATTAAAACTTTGTGCAGATCTTGGTCTTGGTGGTGAATTTGTCACCTCAATCGCCTACAGTATAAGAGGACAATTATCATGGCATCAAAGGACATACGCTTTCAGGTAATAATAATTGGCTCAATTCCATCGCCAAATTAACATTTGCCCATAAAAGAAAAACAAAATGTTACTAATGAATTTTATTCTCATCTAAATCCACAGCGAATCTCCACTGGCCACAGTAGAAGTACCTTTCCGAAATCAAGCCGAATCTGACCAATGGTGTCCATTCCTTGAAACCTTGACCGATGCAGAGATGGAGAAAAAGATTCGAGATCAAGATAGAAGTACAAGAAGGATGAGAAGATTAGCCAACACTGCTTGGTAATCTGAAGACAAACAAATGAAAACCCATTTCCAAATATCATGGACTATTTTCATTCGAACGCATCTTGACACCTACGACCTGTCCATTCGAGTGGATTTTTATTCCAATCAAGTTATAAAATATCGTATCCCATATAAACATGACTTTTAATTATCAAATTATTGTCTTTCATAACTGTGACAATTTATATTTGTCAAATATATTCCTTGAAAATTCAATTTGCACAAAATTTGAATAAAATTTTCCTCAATCATTTAACTATCAATTCGTTTATTAAACTTTCCACGTCTCAATAGAAAAATTAATATTCTAAATTGTTATCATTAGAATTTAAAATCAACCATGATCATTGAGATGATAATCTATTAGTACTTCAAATTGTCAACACAATCGTTACATGGAGAGTTAACTTTTCTCAGAATGAATTTATTGCTTCCATGAATTGAGAGTTTGAGTCGTTGAGTTGGACGATAATCGATATATAAAAGGAACCAAGATATTCCCATGAAAAAAAAGCAAAAGTTCTGGATGATGATGATGAAGATAAATGTCACGATTCAATAAATGACCCGAATTGACCATCATCTTCATGATAATAAATTAATTCATCTCAATGATAAGGGAACAATAAAATTATGTCACAATTGTTAATAAATGTTATCCCAATCTACAAGTTCTGACATTTTATATTGCATATATTGACATTTTCCTTGGCCATAAAAATAGATTCTCATTGACATTTATGAAAATAATCAGATAATAACAATTAAATTGATGGATAATCATAATTATCAAAATCTTTTCAAGTTCAGCAATTGAGCTTATCTCAAGTTAATTGTTGTAATTACATTGACTATATGAGTGGTTTTGTTAGTGATTGTAAAAAATATTCCTAATCAATTGAATGGATTAAATTTTCTTATGGTTAAATTAATTGTAAAGGAAATTAAATCATTAGAGTTAAGTGGTTTTGTTGATTGACTTTTAATTAATCATTTTATTAAATTTGTGTTTGGGTTAATTGTTGAAATTTTCTGGTTCCATTGTATTTTTATCATAATTAACTTGAAATGGTTGACTGATTGTTACTACTATTAACAATTCACTAATCATCATGTTCACCATTCACTTACCGTTAATTTAAATATCAAGACAATTAATTGAAATTGGTTACAATTAACTCTCCATTTATAATATTATTATTCAGAGTAATTCTGATGATAATAATAAATCAACTAACTGACACTTGATACATGAAAACAATATGTTGATTGTAATCATCAGAATTACAATCAATTTTTACCATCTACATAAATCAATCATATTTAAATCACTAATCACCAGAGTAATTAGATGGACTTCATTTTAATCAACGTAAAGGTATAATTATAATAGGAAGACAATTATGAGAGTTTAATAATTGTTTCCAATTGAAGTTGGAACCAAGAAAAACTCAATTGCTCAACTATGATTAGCATTCAAATTTTATGATATTAAGCTTAATTGAATATTAAATTGTAACAATTAACTTACCTTAAGGCCATTAATGAGCTGTGGGCATCACCATCAAGGTGGAAACAGGTATCTTGAGGTGCTAATTGCCAACCATTGTCTTCAAATTTGAAAAACAATAAAACAGTTTCACAATTAATTACTTCCCAATCAGTATTTTTGGCAAGCCAATCATTACTGGCTCCTATTAGGGCACTAGAATTGATTACAATTAGTGGAAGAAATAAAAATATAATTACAATTAAGTATATTGTGTGGATTAGACTGAGAGGAGATGATCAACTTTGATCAACCTTTACATTAATCCAACGATTAATTTGATTGAGTAACTAAAGGCAACTAGACTAGCCAATTAAAGGAAATTGTCAACAATCAATAAAATTTGAATTTTTGATAATCAAATTGTTTAATTGGGTTTGTTGAATAATGAACAAATCATCATAACTACTACTATTAGATTTTATTGTATTGATTACAATAAATTTTTGATTATTAAATTTTTTGAGGAATTGAAATGAAAACAATTTGATGAAAAAAAATCACTACAATTAAGAGTTAATTGTTTGTCCTTTTGATTGTTTACTCTGAGCGGGAAAAAAAGTTACATTAATCAATCGATTGAGTAAATGATAGCTAATGATTAGCTAATTAAGTTGGAAATTGTGAATCAACTGGAAGAGTTTTTTTTATAAATACACAATTAACTTGATTATTGTTGTATGGATGAAAAATTGTTTCAATTTAATGATTTTGATCACAAAATTGTAGCAATTAAGAGGATAATTAACCTTTGTTGCAATTGATACTCAAGTAAAGTAAAAGGTTGATTCTGAATGCAACTAAGAATTAACTCAATTAAAGGTTGATCATTTTGCATAAAATTAAATTGTCGAGTTTAATTGTTCTATCGTTAATTAGTCACTCGAATTACCTGAAACTATGGTAAGCAATTGATTCCCTTTTAGCGGGAAAACCCGTCGGTGGTTTTTTCAAAACTCCTGGAATCACATCAATAAAGGTGAACTTAACTTCGGGTGAAAGTCCAGAATCAATGACCACTGGATCTTCCGGGTGAAAGGTTTCATTACGATCTCGCCACAAGATGTGACCAATATAACCAAAGGCCATCGGTGAATTCAGGCTTACAATCAAAGGTAATTTACTAACATGAAGAAAGAAACAAAAAAAATCAATCGAGAAGACAAAAAGATGAACTGAATTAACTGTTTAAAATGAGATTTAATAACAACAACAATGAATTAAACTGTTGTTGTCTGGTGAAAATAATGATACAATCAACAATTCAATAAACTATTGTTGATAATCACGATATCAGATGATTAAATTGTCCGGTTCAATCAGTTGATTATGTTGATGTTAATTGTAAATGATTGTAAAGTTAAAGGTGATCTATTGATGTTAATAAGGTTACTAGGGAAGAGATAAATTTGATAACTACTGAATTGAAGTAGGAAAGTTTCATGCTCAGTTAAAGTTGTTAAGTGAGAAGATGATATTATCTTCATGATGATGATGACGATGATAGGAAATGTTCAAAGTGCTAGGGAGATCTGGTTAGAATCGATCGATAGAACAAAAAAGTTCGAGAGTCGATATTAACTATTTGGATGTTATATTGTTTTCTCTCTCTCTCTCTCGGTTTGGGTGATGAAATTTCATTCTGAGTTACGAATGCGCGATTCAGTTGACTAACCATCATGATGTTGATTCTTTGGGTGATTTACTTCTAGAACTTATTACTTTCTCATCGATCTTTTCTTTTCTTTTCTCTCTCTCTTTTTTTGTTCTATCGAATAGAATTTTAATTTCCCTTCTCATCCTGATTCTCCTCTCCCTCTCTATTTATCTTCCATCTCCCCTGTAAATAGTTTTCTTTTCTCCATCATATATTGATGATCTTTTCATCCATCTAGAATTTAATTATCGATAAAATGATCAAAATCGAATCAAAATTCCAATAAGAAAATTCTATTCTCACAATTTCGTTACGGTTTTCGATATTCAAACTGTTGCTCTTTTTATACATTTAAATGCTTTTTTCTCCAGTTAATGTTGCGAATTTTGATTTTCTCCAATTCTCATCTATTGATTTACTTTAAATTGTTTCAATTTTATTGTGGATTTTGATTGTTAATCCAATCAATTGGAAACAAAATTCTTTCGAAAAATCGATTTGAATTGACCGCTTTTTCTTTTCCATTGGAAACATTTGTCATCTGGTTGTTCACTTTTCGGTTACATTTTTGGGTTTCATTTCATTTTAATTGTTTGGGTTAATTTTTTTTCTATGACCAATTGTCACTTTCGGACAATTAACTAATTGTTGACTATGAGAACTTACGGTGATAGACCAACACCCTTCCAATTGGATGAAAAGGACGGAGAGTATTATTATATTGGATCAGAGGTAAGTTAATGTTGGGCTTTGGTTTCTGTGTATAAGATGAGCCTCTGATCTTTTAGGTATAAATTGTCACCGATTATATTGTTAAATTGTTTTAATTGTTGATTGTTTTCCATCTTTAATCACTTGGTTTTGTCTCTTCTTCTAGGTTGGTAATTATTTGCGTATGTTCAGAGGATCTCTTTATAAAAAGTATCCTTGCTTATGGCGTCGTTTGGTTACTGTTGATGAAAGGAAAAAACTTGCTGCTTTAGGTGAGAATTGATTGATTTTATTTTTCGAATCTTTTTTTTTTTTGTTGTTTACTGTTAATTTATTTCGATTATTATATTCATTTTTATTTTCGTTTGTTTAGGTTTGGGTCCCCACAGTTTGGCTACAAATATCACTCTTCTGAAAGCAAGTGAAGTTGATGAAATCTTCCATGGTCGAGATGAAAAATATAAGGCCATCTCTATTTCTAGTGAACCTCAAACCCAAAGGTAATTTTTGAGATTTTTTGTTAGATTGTGATTCATGTTTGAAACTTATCATGATTGTTGAAATTTTGGTTACTTTGAATTTTATAAATTTAGAGAGACTAAATCGAAGAGAGCAAATTGGGTCCATGCATCATTACCAAATAGTAGTCATCATCTTGATGCTGTTCCATGTTCTACTCCAGTCAGTCGAAATCGTCTTTCTGGTAAAAAGGTTCGAACTTTTCCTTTGGCATTCGATGATTTAGACTCTGCTATCATCCATGAGAATGCTAAGCAACCCGATGTTCTTGTCCCTATTCGTCTTGATATGGAAATTGATGGATACAAATTAAGAGATACATTTACGAGGAATAAAAATGGTCAGAATCAAATGCGAACATTTAAAATCAAATTTTACCAGTTTGCAAGTTTAAATATCTCTCTTACTGATTGTATTGTTTTCCATTTCTTAGAACAATTAATTACTCCCGAATTATTTGCTGAAGTACTTTGCGATGATTTAGATCTTCCGACTGCAGCGTTTGTCCCAGCCATTGCTCAGTCAATTCGACAACAAATTGAATCTTTTCAAACGGATACTCTTCTTGAAGAGCAAACTGACCAAAGAGTCGTTCTTAAGGTAAAGTCAAATTCAACTTAAATGAAACTCTAATTTTCGACAATTCTGGTATTCTAAAAGTTATTTTTCTTATTCTCTGGATAGTTAAATATTCACGTTGGTAACATTTCTCTGGTCGATCAATTTGAATGGGATATGTCACAGAAAGAAAACAGTCCTGAGCAATTTGCTTTGAGACTTTGTTCAGAACTTGGTCTTGGTGGTGAATTTGTCACCTCAATCGCCTACAGTATAAGAGGACAATTATCATGGCATCAAAGGACATACGCTTTCAGGTAATAATAATTGGCTCAATTCCATCGCCAAATTAACATTTGCCCATAAAAGAAAAACAAAATGTTACTAATGAATTTTATTCTCATCTAAATCCACAGCGAATCTCCACTGTACAGTAGAAGTACCTTTCGAAATCAAGCCGAATCTGACCAATGGTGTCCATTCCTTGAAACCTTGACCGATGCAGAGATGGAGAAAAAGATTCGAGATCAAGATAGAAGTACAAGAAGGATGAGAAGATTAGCCAACACTGCTTGGTAATCTGAAGACAAACAAATGAAAACTCATTTCCAAATTATCATGGACTATTTTCATTCGAACGCATCTTGACACCTACGACCTGTCCATTCGAGTGGATTTTTATTCCAATCAAGTTATAAAATATCGTATCCCATATAAACATGACTTTTAATTATCAAATTATTGTCTTTCATAACTGTGACAATTTATATTTGTCAAATATATTCCTTGAAAATTCAATTTGCACAAAATTTGAATAAAATTTTCCTCAATCATTTAACTATCAATTCGTTTATTAAACTTTCCACGTCTCAATAGAAAAATTAATATTCTAAATTGTTATCATTAGAATTTAAAATCAACCAGAGGATTTGGTAAATTAATTACAAATGATTAAGCAGAAAACGTTATTTAAAATCAATATAAAATACTGTTCAATTTAATCATGTTGATCATGAGAAACTTGTGACAAACGAAATACAATGATCACAATTAAACAATTATAATAATTAAATATCATTTTGATATTGACAAACATATTATAAAATAGGAATCAAAGGATTCACTTGATAAAATTGCTGAGAAAATAAATTTTTGTCGATAATCAAATCAATCAATGATTAATTCAATTGATTTCCAGGCAGAAAAAAATCCGGGAAAATTTTTTCCTTTGCTTTCCAAGTGTTAAAGTTGATACAATAAGATGATATAATATATGCAATCAATAAATTGTTAGGAATTATTTTTCGGGAATACAAAGAAAGAGAGAGGTGAAGATGATTAAAATTGTGAGAGCAAAAGTCACATTGTAATAACAAATAAAATAAAAACAAATTTAGTTGAGATTTTGTTCAGATCATAATCACAGATTGGAAGCACGATTTGAATGATCATGATGAGTATTGGGATCATTATGTAAATTAATGGTACCACTGTTACTAATATTCACATTATTGCCTGAGTCCATCATGACTAACCAACTCTGCAAACCAATATCACGTAATAGTTCATGCGAATCAATATCGAGATCCAAACTATCCAATTTAGAGGTTAAGGCACCTTCGACTTCGTTATTGTTAAGATTATTGTTGATTGATGGAATCATCGTAGGAAGATTGGGATGTTGAGGTGAGTGATTAAAACTCGAACTTGGTTGAACTTGTTGGTGAGGTGGTGTTACGGGAGAAACTGGTTCAATCATCATATTATTTGATAGATGAGCAGGTGAGAGATTTTTCAAAAATGAGTTTACATCATCTGGAACATAATTGTTACCTGAAATTGAGCCAAAATTGTTTTGTTGTTGTTGGTCAAGTTGCTGTTGGTGATGATTGAATGTTGGTGGGTTCATATTGTCAGAGCAGATCTGGAATGGCTGAGATTGTTTAGATTGTTGTTGTTGTTGTTGTTGTAAATGCTGTTGATTGGAGGCTAAGGGTTTAGTGGATGACATGTCAAGTGAGCCCCGAGGTGAGGGAGAGTAATGGGGAGTTAATGAATAAGAAATAGTCTGTGGGATTGCAGAAGATTTTGACTGAAGATTTGATTCTTGAATACAATGAGGGATTGAGGTAGGTGATGGGGTATTCACCATATTACGATTGTATGAAGGAGATCTTCTTTGAATACCTAATGGTCCACCTAAAGATGGTCCAGTAAGTTGAGAGAAATCATTCCATTGAGATTGCTGTTGTTCGGATTGAAGGTCAATATCAATTCGATCAGGTATTGCAGGCGAAACTGGTTCTTGAGGTCTAAGTGGACTACGAGAAGAACTAGGGTAGTCAAGGGGCGATAGTCCACGAGGTTGAGTAGATTGCATTTGGCTCATAATTGAAGAGTTATCCTTAATGTAACGATTAAGACAATCACTTTCTTCAACTTTTTGTCGTTTTCTTGTAAGTCCATCAGGATCGATTCCTTTGGGTAAAAATTGAAATGATCTTGATTCACTTGTGTGTCCATCACTTGGTCTTCTCAGTTGTATGTTAACAGTAACTGGTGAAGAGATATTTTCATTGTAATATTTGGGTGAACGAAATGAGATGGCAACTTGCTTATGGACATCGTTAGGTTGAAAATCTGCATAACCTTCCCAAATTAGTTGACCATTTGATTCTTCAAAAAAGCGAATCTGAATGTCATCCTTGGCAACTCGATCACAAAGTAAAATTATCTCTCTACCACCAATTACTGGAGCAGAAAAGTGACTCAACTTTGTTATAATTAAATCAGACATTGCCTCTAAAATATGAAACAAAAGCAGAATAAAAGAAATGCAAAAACAAAAACCAATTAAAGCTTGTGGATCGTGTTAACAATTAACTAAAATGTTATTGTAATTTTTGAAAACCATTTCATCACCTCTGTTTCCCGTCCAACGGACAAAAAGGAATTCATTTTAAATACTCACTTTTATCGTATATTGGGTCAGATACAACAGGTCGCAAGGGAATAGTAAATTTATCCTTCTCTGGACCTTCAACGAAAACTTGGAAACACAAGCGAACGACATTTAGATCAATACTGGACGATTGGTTTTTGTGAGCGAAACCAGCTTTAAGGTGTAACCACAAGAAAATAAGTAAACAAATTAACAAAAATCGTTATTATGTCTTTCGCAATGATGGATAATTATGAAATAGAAAAATAATAAAACCATCAACAGGTTTAGAGAGAAAATTTTTCTTCTCTTTGGAAAAAAAAGGAAGAAAGAAAAGTTAGAGAGAGAGAGAGAGAGAGAGAGAGAGAGAGAAACTTGCTTACTTCGAAATGGATCCACTTTGATTGATTCTCTTAATTTGAGAGAATCTTCAATATCTTTACGTTTGACACATTGAATTCCAAGTGAAGTAAAACTGCAAATCATGTCCGGATTATTTATCACCATGGTACAAACACCCTTCTTACAACCATCCTTACCAACTAAATTGTGAGGATGTGGACGATAGGGAAAATCTTTCGTTACACAAGAGACAACGACAACAGCTGGACCTTTAAAAGATTCGATTTGAATGCTTGGATAGGTTTTATTTTCTGGTGTTGAATTAGATCCTGGAATAGAACCAGCAGAACGTCCTTCACACTCGTATCTAAATCTAAGAGCACAGCGAGCAGGTTGTTCCAATATCTTTAAATGAGGCACATTAGGATCTTCACCGTATTCACCACAGGCCATTAAAGTAGCTAAACTCATAATTAAAACTTGTTGTTGATTTGATAATATAAAAAAAAAACTATTTAAGTAGTAGAAGCAAATCAATAACGACAAATGGAAGTCTCTTTCTCTCTCTCTGAATAGAATGAGAATAGAAAATAAAAATATTCTCTTTACAAAAAAAAAAAAACAGAAAAAAATATTCAACAAGTCGATTCAGTTAGAGATTGTCTTGTATATAAAAAAAACAACAACAGTTTTGTAATTCTGAGTTCATTGAATAGGCTTCCAAACGTGGTGAGTGTACCTGTTCATCAATAGATTCAGTAGTAAATAGAGAGCAGAAAAAAACAAAAATAAATTAGAAGAACATTAATGGTGATCACGATTAAAGAGTAAAAACAAAAGAATCAAAATAAAAATAGCCAGAAATGAGGTTCTTTATTCAAGAAGAAAATGAAGAACCACAAGAGAGAGAGAGAGAGAGAGAGAGAGAGAGAGAGAGAGAGAGAGAGAGAGAGAGACCATTTAATAGTAGAAAAAACATGAAAGAGAAAGAAAGAGAACAGGAGCGATAAAAGAGAAACCAGAAAGGGAAGAAAGAATAAAATGAATTAGAAAGAAAAACAAGAGGAAAGAAAAAGTGTCTAAATGTGAAATTATGCAATGAGCTCAAAATCTGTAATCAAATAAATCAGAGAAAAAGAAAATCAAAGCGAACTGGAAACAGAATTTTCTCAGAGAAAGCAAAACCAAGTGAAATTGTTTCTCTTTTTGTTCAATAAAGAATAAGGAAAATCATCTCGGAGAAACAGAAGAACAAAATTAACAAGAAATTAAAAATCGTTCAGAGTTAATTATCCAACGAAAAAAAAGATTCATCAAAGTAGAGAATAGAAAAAGTTAAGGCAAACATAGGGTGAGATAGGGAGAGAGAAAAGAGAGACGTGAGTTTATGGGCTTTGGTCCATTAAAAGAATAGAAGAAAAAACTGTTTTTCGTTCTAATGAGAACAATTATTATTATTTCGTAATTGTAAGTAACTCACCTAATTCTTTGTTGGTTTGTGGCCACAATTTAAGTGGAAAATTAAAAAAAAACTTTAAACCCAAAGAAATGAGAGAGAGAGAAAAACAAACAAGAAAAAAAAGTAAGATAAAAAAAACTCTTTCTTTTTATTTTTGAAGACAAAATTTTCATCTTCAAGTTAAAACTTATGTGTCTCCATCTTTTGTAATTAGAATTACATTGAAAGCGCCAACTCTTAAAAACGATAAATACTCAGGTAAGTTGAATGAGAATCAATGGAAATGATTAAAAAATATTGTTTGATTTCTCATTTTCATCATGAGAAATCAAGTTGAATCCAATTGAAATGGAAAAACAACTTAGATTCTTAGACTCTTGTGTATATATTACAAAGTTGTTTTTTTGTGAATTTTGCAAAAATTTACATTTAACTGGAACATCTCCATATACAGGGTGTTAAATATACACCTTTTCCTTTGGATGGAATAATTAATTTTCCACCATAGATAATTGATGGTGTAGAACGATTAAGATACTCATCACTTCCATCACAACAATCGCAAATACCATCGTTAACCATTGATGATGGAATACTTGTTAATCCATCAAACGTTTTAACTATACAATAAAATCTATCAAAAGAGAGAGAGAGAGAGATGAATAGAAAACAAAGAAAAATAATTAATTCGATTCTTAAGATGATCATTTTTGTGCGAGTAACAATCACAATTAACTTACTTGAATTGAGGGCAAGCATCGGTTGATGGTTCATCACTTCCATCTTGACAATCACAATAATCATCATTAACTTGAGAATAAGAAATTTCCTCACCACTGGATCGACATCTAAATTGACCACCATCTTTTTCTTGGTAATATTTAAAATCAAATTTACTAACACCAAGAATTATTTTACCCAAAGGTTTAACTGGTCTTCTTTTGGTATCCTTTTTAAACGAATCTTTAGCAAAATAATTAACCTTTGGTGATCCTTTCAGGGGAGACAACAATTTACTCTCATCATCATCATTACCTTCATCTCCATGATCCAAAATCTTATGGCGATGGTGATTGTTGAATGATTTTTCCGGTGATCGGGATGCCAACTTATTTAAAGCAGTGATGATGGTTAACTGATACAACAGATAAAATGTACTAAAACTTAAACCAATTAAGAACAAATTTCTTCTAGTCAAATAACCAGAAAATCTTAATTTGGTCATAATAATTTTCTTAAAACAAAATTAAATCTCAATCACATGTTACCAAAAGAGTGAAAAAAAAACAAATTCAATTGTTTTTGTTTCCAAAAGGGATCATCTCCTAATTGCATTTTCCATTCTCCAGAAATTGTGTCTCAACGTTTCCACTAAATTGTAACTTTTTTGTTCCTTAATTAGTAACAATTAACGGATATGGATGAACCCAGGAAATTGAATATTGACCAGGCAATGGTAGGTGAGTAATTGGATTGGAGAAAATTGTTCCAATTGGATTTTAATTGTGAGTTTTTGTTTCATTTTCTTGTTTTTTTTAGTTTTACTTGGAGACAATGATGAGGAGAGGAAACAATTTATTTCTCAACTTGGTTCATCTATTAAATCATTGATTAGATTGATTTGTCGCTTATTAATTACTGGAGATGAGGGTGAAAAAGATTTGGCAATCAAATGTTTGGCTAAAATTAGTGAGATTGAAAGTCAATCTATTTTGGAAACACTTAAAGAGGAATCAGCTGTTTGTGATTTAATTTACTCTTCAGTGAGTAAATTACTTCATTCACTGGACAATCAATCTAATTTAACTGCAATTGATTCAATTAACTTTTATCTTGTTGTCTTGATTAATATTACAAGGGAAGAGATTAGTGACCAATTTGTTAAATCTCTGTTATTTTCGGATCAAAACAATGGTGATAATTTACTTGAAGAGTTTCAATTGATCTTAAGTGGAGTTGGAAAAATTTCTTCCAGTGGTAATAATCATTTGGCTGAATTAATTGTTCAATTGTTACTCAATTTATCTCAATCATCGTTAATCCAGAATGAAATTCAAACCTTAAAGGATAATTTGGCCTCTCTGCTGAAAGTGATTCTAAATCTTTTCGAGAATTCTACTAATCCGAAGCTTCGAACCTTTTGTTTATTGATTATTGTTAATTTTCTGATTTCTGGTTCAGCTCAAGAGACTATGCTGGATTCTAAATTAGAATTAATTGTTAAAATTCTTTCCCCATTAGCTGGACCAACTTCGAGTGAATTAGACGATGAAGACATGGCTCAGTTACCTTTGGATCTTCAGTACCTTCCGCCCGAAACTGAACGTGAAGCCGATAATTGTGTTCGTGATGCTTTAATTTCTTGTCTATTGTTGTGCTGTAACACCAAAAATGGTCGAGAATCGTTGAAATCTAATGGTACTTATTATATTCTTAGAGAATATCATAAATGGGAAAAGAATCGACCGCTTCAGAAGCGAATCGAAGACGTTGTTGATATACTAATTAAAGACGAAGAAGAGTTTGATAAGTTTCCTGATCTAATTTCCACTCAAATACCTGAACATTTACTTGGTAAATTTGACGAAATGGATCGAGATCTATTGACCGAATAATTTTGTAATTAGTAAGATGATTTACTAAAGAGTGTCAAAAATAAAACGACCTCTAAAATCCAACTAAATTCAATTGGTTTTTAGATAATTGTTATCTAGACAAGTTGATCAATAAAAAAACAATCAGATACTAATCAAGATATTCAGTGGTCAATTTCTCTAGATAACAATTATCTGAAACCAATTAAATTTAGTTGGACTTTAGAGCTCAAAGCGTTTTATTTTTGACATCCTTTAAAATTTTCGTTAAATAAACAAATTTAATTGCAACAATTTTTCAATTACAAACACGCATCTTTGATGATAAGAATAAATTGATTAACTTAATTTTAGAAACTTGTAAATTGTGACCAGAATCGCGATGAAAGAATATGTTTGAAGATGAAGAAAAAAAGTTGATTTTTGTACTTTAAATTGTCCAAAAATTTTACATCCTGAAAATACCGAAATCTGTCCTTTCGATTGGAGCATTGGAAGAGGCTTGAAGACAGAGACCTAAAACCCGTCGAGTGTCAACTGGATCAATGACTCCATCGTCCCATAATCGTGCACTTGAATAGTACGGTGAACCTTCAGCCTCAAATTTTGCAATAATTGGATCTTTAATCGCCTTTTCCTGTTCTGGAGATAATTGTTTACCTTCTCGACTTTTTTGATCGGCGGCAAGTGTGGCCAATACACCGGCAGCTTGTTCACCACCCATAACGGAAATACGTGAGTTCGGCCATGTAAATAAGAACCTCGGACTGTAGGCACGTCCACACATACCATAATTTCCAGCTCCATATGAACCACCAATAAGAATGGTAAACTTTGGTACTTTGGCACATGAAACGGCGGTCACCAATTTAGCTCCATCTTTAGCTATTCCCCCGGATTCGGCGTCTTTTCCAACCATGAAACCGGTGATATTTTGAAGAAACAAAAGTGGAATACCTCGTTTACTACATAATTGAATAAAATGAGCACCTTTAAGTGCTGCTTGCGAAAAAAGGACTCCATTATTGGCGACGATTCCAATCTTTTTACCATAAATCCGACCGATTCCCGTAACAAGTGTATCACCATAAAGAGCTTTAAATTCATCGAATCGACTTCCATCAACAATACGAGCTATAACCTCACGAACTTCGAAAGGTCTCTTTAAATTTTCACCAACAATACCATAGAGATCATCTAATGGATACAATGGCTCCTCGAATGGCCCTTCAACTGGTTCGAACTCATCAGACCAACCCCTTCGTTTGACATTTAAATTGGAAACAACTTTACGTGCAAGGTGAAGAGCATGATGATCATCTTTGGCGAGATAATCAGTAACACCAGAGGTTTTACAATGTAAATTAGCACCACCCAAGTCTTCAGCTGAGATAATTTCACCGGTCGCCGCTTTAACTAACGGTGGACCCGCGAGGAAAATGGTTCCTTGTTTATGGACGATTATATTTTCATCGGACATGGCGGGTACATAGGCACCTCCAGCAGTACAACTTCCCATGACAACAGCAATTTGTGGTATCCCAATTGCTGACATGTTTGCCTGATTGTAGAAAATTCTTCCAAAATGATTAACATCGGGAAAAATTTCCGCCTGATGAGGTAAATTAGCTCCACCTGAATCAACAAGGTAAATACAGGTTAACCTATTTTCCAATGCAATTTGTTGAGCTCTTAAATGTTTCTTTACTGTCTCCGGGTAATAAGTACCAGCCTTAACCGTAGCATCGTTTGCAGCAATCATACAATCAACACCATTAATTTGCCCGATTCCCGTTACAATACCAGCCGAGGGAACATCTTCACCAGGATAAACCTGATAACCAGCTAAAGGTGATAACTCTAAAAACGGTGAGCCAACATCGAGAAGCTCATTTATCCGCTGGCGAACCAAAAGTTTGCCCTTGGATGTATGACGAGCTGAAGCCTTTTCTCCTCCACCTTGAGAGATTTTCTGTAAAACCGATCGCAATTTAACTGTAACATTCAACAATTGATCATAATTTTCCTATAAAACGAGAAAACAAAAAAAAGAGAGAGAATAAGTTAAATGTAACAATCAATATCAATTAGAAAACAACAATCTACTCACCTTAAAATGATCGGATGACCTATCGACCGAAGTCTCGATGATCGGTAAATTGTCAGTGTGAATAAAACACCTCGAAACACTTGACCATCTCCAAAGGAGTTTATTAACACTATTAGATAACATCACAATCAACTTGGAATCTTGTAAACTAAATCAATGGAATATAAATTAAAGTGAAAAACAAAACTATCAACCAATTGACTATTTTCTGGTCTCAATCCATCTTTTATCATTAATATCTCATCAATCAGAAGATTAGATGATGATGATGATGATGATGAGTTAAGAGAAAACCTTTTATCAATCATATCCTCTCTTAATTATCAATAATTGATCAACTAATTACACACCGATAAACAATTTAAGTTAACAAGGGAAAAAAAATGAATAGACAATAAACAAAATAAGGTAAGAGAAAAAAAAAATTTTCCAACCGCGTTTTTCAATTTAATTGATCGACTTTCTAATTAACTATTAGCCCCAATTGATTAACTTTCATTCAATTTGTTTAATTTTTGAGTTTAATTCATTGATTTGCCAACAATTAACAATACTCACAATCTATTTGTTTGTAATCATAACAACTCAAGGTTAACGATGTGGTGACAATTTAAATTATCGTGTTGATGATTAGTTGATGAATCTTTTTTTTTTTTTTTTACTCACCACAATTTAACTTTGTAACAATTAACAATTAAAAACAACTGACCTTGTCAATGATAAACTATTTCAAGTTAATTGTAAAAACTAAATATCCGATTACCTTGAAATCTTTATCAATGGGAATACAAAATTAATCAACACAATGAATTAGATAAAAGTTTAATTGCTCTCAGTTAATTATATATGGAAATAGTTTCATTATATTATCATAACTTAATCAGTTTACTAATTAAAAAGGATCAACGATTAACTGTTACATTGTTAATTGTTGTTAGATAATTAAGATTGTCATTTTACTGGTTTCACTTTTCACAACAATCAATTTAATTTTCGTGATTTAATCAATTTACAAATCAACGGTTACAATTAACCTTGATTTAGTTTTCTTGTTAACAATTAGTGATAAGATGAAGTGTAATAAAGTTACTCAAATTGTTCATTTAATTATAAGATTTTTGATAATCTTTATTAATCCTTCAAGGTAGAATTAGTTAATTATTGGTAATTAATTGTCGATATCATAATGATTTAGCTAATTCAATTCAGGGTTAAATTAGATAAGTGAAAGTGAAACAGTTTCAACAATTAACTGATTCTCATTTTCTTTACCTTTGTAATAATTGCTTTTAGGTGAATGAATCAGTAAATCATGTCAACAATTTAACAATTTAATTGTTTCAACATGATAATAACATTGTCGTTACAATGTTATTAATCATGTAATTAAAAGTTAATTGTAAGAGCATTTTCCGTCATAACAAAATCAAGAGGCAAGAGAATTGAGTTTAATTGTTAACAAGCAATTAGAAACTAGATCTTCATCACCATCACCAAAGTCCATATGGAAAGTCAATCAACAATCATGATTAACTGATTGTGTTCAATAAATAAAAGAAAATTAAATTACAAGACTAATAGTTAATCCATAATGGGAATCAATTCTCATCTAATGTTAACAATTAACTAACCAACGGATATCCTGTATTGAGAAGCTAAAGAAAAAATCAACACCTCAAGCAATTAAGTAAATAATCAATTGCAAGATTAAAATAGAAATGTAATCAACTGAAACAACAATTAAATTATTATTTTAGTGGAAACAAAAATGAAAAACCTCATCAAGAAACATAGACTTTAATTGTAAACTGGACAAACTGGATTAATAAATTAACCTTATCCTCCAAAGTAAAATCAACGATTAACATCATTAAAATCGTGATTTATTGTGATTACCGATGAAAACCAAAGATTATAATCAAGGTAGCAATCAATAACCCTAATGATTAAATTAGGAACATTAAATTAAGATTAGCAGGAAAAGAAAACTAAAATTAAATTTCAAACCAAAAATTTACCTGATAAACTAATACAATCAACCAGATAGACTTAATCATCAAATAATCAACCAGGTAAATATCAATTGATATCTACTATCGTAGTCGTCATCAATATACACAATTAGATTTAGAGAGAGAGAGAGAGAGAGAGAGAGAGAGAGAGAGAGAGAGAGAGAGAGAGAGAGAGAGAGGAGAGGATGATGAGTGAGTAAGAGGAAGAGCAGATTCAGTTTCAATTACAATTAGAATCATCATCTCATCATCACCATGATATTAAACTAACATTTTTTTCTCGTTTTTTGTTATCAATTTAATTCTCTCTCTCTCTCTCTCCTTTTTTCATTGTTATCAATTTAATTTAATCAACAAATTACATACACAAATGATAGTAATAGTTTGTCATCAATGTATTCGTCATCCTTTGTTACAATTTAATGTTGATGGACAATTTAATTCACCAGTAAACAGTTTCCATCATTTCCTTTGGTCATTTTCAACGTGAAAAATTTTTTCATTAATCTTCATCATCGTTTCAACAATGATAATTATCACTTGTGGTTAATTGTTATCAGCGTTTCTTTTTGTAAATATTATATTACAATTCAATTGATTTCTCTTTGTTTCTGTGATTTGTGAATCAATATAATGTCAAACACTCATGGATTTAAAAATGTCCTCGCCTTTGAACAAGCGGTTGACCGTCGGCTCCCCGCTCATTACAGTTCCTATCATATTGGGCGATTATTGTTAATTACCGGAAGTGTTACCTTACTTTCCGGTTTATTGTTAAAGTTTATCTTCTATGAAGATCGAGTTGGTCCAATTTTCATCGTCACTCTGATTATCTGTGGACTTGGTGTTGGCCTTTTCCTAACTGGTGCTTTTCTAATCATCCTTGCAGCTCTTAAATCAGTTCGAGCTCAAGATGAATTTGCCAAACAAGCGGGTCTTAATCAACCAGCTAATTATCAATCAAATTTAGTTGAAAATGGTTCTCCCAATAGTTATACCACCAATTTGAACAACAACAACAACAACAACAATGTAATTAGTAACAATTACGCCAATAACGTTAATGGCAATGTTGTTGGATCAACTAATAGGCCTAATTTGGGTCGGTCAATCAGTCAAACACTGGACAATAATATGAACAATATGATTAACCATCAACCATTGACAGTTTCAACGTTGGAAAGAGTTGATTCAAACCCAATGAGACACTAATTGTTGTGAATCTGTGTAAATATGTTTACATTAATTTTCTCATCCATCATCTTAATATAATTGTGATTCAGTTTGTTCAAGGTAACAATTAAAAAGTTCATCTTGATTTGAATAGTAACAACAACAACAACAACAACAATTAACATTGATTGTTAAAATCATATTAATAACTCTTGATGACGATGGTACACTATTTATGTGTAGCATTATGATTTGTGCAAAAGCTACAGCAATTATTATCAAAACTAATTATCAAAGTAATTAAGTTATTGTTATCATAATCCTAATTCTTGGCTGGAAATCATCTGATGGTAAATTTTACCTTAATCATTTGCAGTTTTGTTTCACTTTCACTTTTCAAAACTGGAACAAGGTCCATGAAGATTCATATTAATTGTAATTTATTGCCATTTATCATCATTCTCATCACCATCATGATGATGATGATCATCATCATCACAGGAAGCTGAGGGATAGAATGAAAAAAAGAGAAGACAAAAAGTGAGAAAAGTGAGTCTTTTTTCACCATAGGAAAAAGAGGTTGAGGTCAATTGTAAATGATGAACATACAAATTACATCAACAATTTAAATTGTTTCATCTGAATAATCAATTACTGTTTGCGTGATTTGTAGTTTACTAAACACAATCAAATTAAATTAACACTGATCATGATCGTGATCATCTTCAATGTATTTAAATACATTTTCTGTTCAAAGGAAATTGTGAAGTTTATATGATGAAATGATTGATTATTTTGTTTTCAACATTAATTGTAACAATTAACTTGATTTCTATTGTTTTGTTTATTACTCACTAACAAAATAAGAAAACAAAATAATCTCGATGTTTAAATCAATCATTATGTTTTCATTACCTTATATTGGTGATTAACAATTAAAAAGATCGGGTTATTGTTAATTAAGTCTTAATTACAATCCTCCAGAGTAACCTCAGTGCGAATGACATATCATCATTGTCATCGTCATCTTAATGATCATCATATTGTTATCGTCACCATCCTGATTATAATTGTAATTTACTTCCTTGGTTAACTGATTGTTAATCCAGATATTTACAAATTATTTCCGTTTCTTTTTTTGTCCATTGATTTTGTACTGTAAACAAAACATAAATAACAATTAGATCGATGTAACTTATTATTAACTCAAGTTGATTAAAATGAATTATGATGGAAACAATTTATAAATTTTCATGTGCTTTCATCGATTGATACATTATCATGTATCATCCATTTGGATATCACGATAATACTCGTAACGAACATCACTAATTGTCCAAAAATGAGATATCACAAACTTGATAAAGTCCGATAATCAAGTTAATTGTAATTTACAAAATGCACTCATTTTGTTCCGATCAACCTAATAATATAATTTTTTATTCAATGTTTTGATTGCGATGTGAATTTAGACCAATAGATGTCAGAAGTTTCATGTTCATGGATGAAAATTCATGTTTATGGGAGAAATGTTGATCATGGTAAATGAAAGAATCGTAGAATTTAAGAAGAGATAGATTTTTTCTTCAGAACAAAAATCAGTAGTAGAAAAGTTAAGAAGGAAAATATACGAAAAAGGAAAATCGAAATTCGAGATTCGAAAACTTTGTCATTTCGCCAATGTATCAATCATATACACTGTAAATATATGAGCTTTAACTGGAAGTAAAGAATTAATATATGTTCGAAGTAAAGAGTTGATTAAACTGTGTACTATTCGGTTGAGAAGCGAAAAAATTTCATCAAAAATACGAACCAAAATCAATCGATGTGCTAAGAAAGTGCGTTACGATTGGTCAGCGTGTGTGTGTACTCATGTTCATGTGTCAATAAACTATGTTGCCAGTTGCGAACATGGATAATTTAAAGTTCACTGTATTTTCATTAATTGGATCAACTTTATTGTTAATTGTTAACTGTTCATCATTGGAACAACAACCAAATCGCAATCATGGCAATTGGATATCAAATTTTCAAGGTGAGTTAATGTCATGAGAAATTGATTGATGTATTGTTGGTCAATCGTAAGATTAAAATGTAAATTGATTATAAACTCGTAATCCTAATGATTGACATTTATCAAGATTCAAAAAAAAAGCTACTTCATGATAAGAAATCAAAACAAATATCAAGACAATCAATAGTTTGAAGATTCATGAATAGCTTCAAGTCAGTTCCTGTCATTTCATGATAACCATTTTTTGGTTTTACTTTTTTCATTCATCGTTTTCTCGGTGAAATATGATCTCGATCTATGCTTAGAATACTAGACTGAATACCAATGTATCCGTTTCATAGAAATGAATGTTAAAATAATAATATCAACTAAAGACAAATAAAGAGAAGGTCAGTTGATGGAAATAAAAACGGAAGTGAAAATTGAAAAATATCGGAAAGAATCAAGTTAATCTCCGAGAAGAGAAAATATAAAAAAGATAAAGTAAAATATTGAATGAATTCTGGTTAGTCTGAAATGTTGAGAAAAACGAAGATAACAATAAACTTGTCATGTCAATCAAATCGCCATGAAAAACATTCAACCTGGATGATGAGAGAGTTGAAAAAAAGGACTGGAAACAATTCTGATTCTGAAACGGTTTAAATATCAATTATTTCTTCTGAACTTTATTCTGATTAATATTCTGTGATTTATAAACGATGAAAAGAGTTTGACAAGTTAAGAATATCAAGTTTATTTGTTTCGTGTCAGGTAAAATACTTGAATTGGAAGGTAGGACGATCTGATTAAGTCTAGAAAATTTCATGGGTCACTTAAGAATCACGGGTAGATGATTTTCTATCGGGAAAGTCACGCACATTCTGTCATATTGTCTCAACTAAATAAAAAGCATCATCATCATCATCATGATAATAGTAAATGTCAACCATTGAACAAATAGTCAACAATGTAATCAATTAACACTAACAACCCAATAAGATGAAATTGACCATAAGTAATTCAACTTGTATAATGTCTGAAGATAAACATTAGCTTCTCAATTCAATTGATCTCATCAATTGATTCACTTAATTGTTGTAGTATATCAATCATCTTCTCACAATAAAGTTAATATAAACTCCAAGTAAATTTTCAATTCTTATTCAACGATAAAATGTTTTACTTTAATTTCAATTCACAGAACCCATTGGACTAATGGCTCCTCGAATTACTTATAATAGTAACTCTTTGGTTTCAGTTCGTCAAGGGACATTTGCTAAACTTTGCTGTGTTGCTCAAGCATATCCAATACCACAGTTCAGGTAATTCACATTTGATTCAATTAATTTAATGACGATAAACAAAAAGATGAACCATTTTCTTGAAGAACCAAATTAAAATGATAATCTTACAATTGAATTATTATACAATACGAACGATATCATAATATTAGATTGATGTTATAATCTACTATTAGCAAAGTAAACTAAAGCTGAACAACTAAAATGTAGATAAAATTTGTGGAGAAACTTTTTCTTCCCTGTTATTTTCATTCAATATTATCCAAGAAGATTGAACATTCAGTTGATCATTTCAGATGAAAACTTGTACATCAAACTAAATACTTGTGAATTTTAACAATGATTGATTGTTTTATGTCTGAACAACGATGACTCTTGACAATATAACCTTTCTCTTTTTTATATAAACTCTAATTCATGTTAGGTTATCATGGAAAACTATTAGATTGTTCATTATAAGATTGAATCTTCTGAAATAAGGTAGCCTATGGGAAATGATAAGATGCTGTTCAACAACCTAATACATTGATTGTATTATGTGATAAAGACAAAGTAACTTTTTTTCCTACAACTTTTAGTATCTAAGCCAATGTTTTACATTCACTTTTTTGCTTGTTTTCATGTTACTATTAACATGAGCCCTTTTAAGATAACCTTTAACTTGACTTTCCTTTGGCTATAAGAGATTTATATTGTTGAGAGATTACGGTTTGGCATATCGGTTAATGTATCTTTGGTTAACTGGCTAGTTGGTGTCAACATTAAGACAAGCCAAAAACATACAAAATGCTTGTCCGTTTATGTAACTGTTGAATCAATTGTCAATTTGTTTTTGCTTTCTTAACGCTTTAGAAATTTTTAATGACCAAATTTAAAGAGGAATTAATTATTAATAGATGAGCCATATTGAGATCTTCTATACAGGGAAATTCAGCTACTTTGTTGGTTTTTTTTTTCAAAATTATTCAAAAACAACTTGAGCAGTAGAGTCCCTATTTTGTCTATGAAAGTTTGGCCGACACTCAATTGTCATATTCCAAGGTCATACTGGTGGATCAACTATTAATACTTAAGTATTCATACTTGTTAACTGGTGAATGGATTGTCAGATTTTTGCTTAAAATTTTTCTTTCTCAATTAACTAATCTACTATTCAGTGGATCAATAGCTCAATCAGTAAAGTTCAATCTAATATCGAGTGTAACATGAAACCGAAAATAATATTAATGAACCTAAATTGTGATTAAACATGAAAATTAATTAACCATTTGACAGAAAGAAAGAAAAGAAAGAAAAGAAAGAGAGAAAGAGAATCAGCTAATCTAGATAAATTGAGTTAATTAAACAATGATCAATGTCAATACAAGTCAATGAATATCAATAATATCATCATTATCATTATCGATAAAGTTAAGAATTGAAATAGTGTTGATAATGATAGAGATTGTGATTGTGTTTCGTGATTGTGATTTGTGATTATAATGTTTTTATTGTAGACTTTAAAGATTAATCAATTTTAAAATCAATAACAAGTATTGGAATTGGGTGATTATCATATGATAGTGTTGATAATTTATTGATTAAATTTACAAATTTTTTTGTCACTTCATTCATCAAGAGTGTATATTAATAGATATTATAATGATAGTAATGGTATTCACTCCCAAGTCATTAAATCAGGTTTCATATGAAAATGATGGTGCAAATAAAAAAGGAAATGGTCTTTTCATTTCTTCCCTCAAGCTCTAATCATTATCATCATATTACTTCATTGTAATCTGAACATATCATAATATTAGGATAATCTAAAATCAAGCAACATATCAAAATCGAACTGAATAAATTACAAAGAACCAAAATTATCGCCTTATAATGTGACAATATTGCTCTCTTTCTTTTATTGATTCGAATTGATTGAAATCAACAATGAATACATTTATCTTTTACTATTAATATTATCAGGACTTTACATGAGTTTTATCTCAACCAATAAGTACAAAATATCTTCTTTATTATCGTTCATGTAGATTCAATCAGAGTGAATAGTCTAAATGCAAATTGGCCCATCATATCGCAGTAAATGATTTCATCATTTAGGCTTTTATTCTGAATATAAATATTACCAAGAGAATAATGGTCAGTAGAAGACATCGAAGGATGAGAAAACGAGAATTACGGGAGATAGTATTTAGAGTGTGAGATATGATTGAACTGGAGAAGAAAAAAGTGATAATCGAAGATGAGAGAGTGAATATGAGACCATCATGAGAATATTTCATTTCCATCATAATGATGATGATTATAATCATTATGATCCACAACTCGAATGCTGATAATGGTTATGCTTAATGTTTCGATATTGGTCAATGAATAAAATTATCTCTCTCTCTCATCAGAACGAACCCTTTGATATTAAGATTGTCTTTCTTGTTTCTTGCACCGAATCTTTTTTTGTACAGTTTTAATGTTGACTTTTCTCTGGGCCGAAAGGTAAAAACATATACACTGTGCATGAGTTTTCACTTATATCCGTTTCCTGTTATGAGATCATGATAAAAATACTAACATCAATTAATATCCTAGTAAATCAAGTTATCAAATGAATACTAATGATATTTGTAGACTCATCAAAAACCATATAATTGATTTTCAAGTGGTTTTCATTTCATCTTCCTCATCATTTTATCATCAAGATGAATTAATGTAATAAAAGTTTCAATGTTTACTCAATCAACTAAAACGATCATAAACTTATCCACATTGTGTGCACTTTATTTGACCAATTTAACATCTATATCTTCATTGATTAACATCAATGAACGTGGTCACTTACTCACTCTCTCTCTCTCTCTCTCTCTCTCTCTCTCTCTCTCTCTCTCTCTCTCTCTCAAACAATAGTCCATCTTTTATTATCTTCTAAATAAACAATAACTTGCTACTTTTCTTTGATAATAATATTTTTCTCTTCATCTTCATCACCAATTGAGTTAATAACAATAATGGGAGTGATAATAATACCATTGATGAAATGTGATACTGTCAGTTATCAATCTCAGTTTATGTCCATGGCTCTCATGAGTATGTGAGAGAGAGAGAGAAGATGATAAAGAAAAGTTAATGATGATGAGTAGAGAGAGAGAGAGAAGGAAGTTAGGGAGTTAAATGCTGGATGATACATGTATGTTCATTGGTCATCTCAATGTTTTAAGTCTCTCTCTCTCTCTCTCTCTCTCTCTCTCTCTCTCTCTCTCTCTCTCTCTCTCTCTCTCTCTCTCTCTCTGTATTTAAGCTTTTTCATCCTCAGTATCTTTGTCTTCATGATGATAATATTTTCTTTGTCCATTTGCTTCATCTTTCATCTTTCATCTTACTCCTTTTCCAAAGTTTGATTCATCACTACAATTGATCGGATGTAACCTTAATCACTTGGATATAAACTTGGGATAAAAATGAATCAAAAGTTGTTGTTTCTTTTTCTTCCTCTTTCATCGTCCATTTTTATTTTCTCATCATTCTCACTAATCAACTTAGAGCTTAAATATAAACTGGACGTTAATTCCCCGTATGTGTGCTTAACTTAAATACTCTTAGTCTTTATTAACTTAACTGACCAAAAGAAATTGTCTCAATAAATATTTTCATATCATCTCACTTGATACTTTGAATTAATCTCATATAAGAAAGTTAAAGTCATAAGAAAATAATAGTGAAAAAAATGCTCACAATAATCATATTCTGTCAATAATTATCCAGGTAGAACTGAAAAATATTGGGATAATATTAAAGTACATTAATATCATGTAATATTATGAGAGAGAGAGAGAGAGAGAGAGAGAGAGAGAGAGAGAGAGAGAGAGAGAGAGAGAGAGATCATGATCAAGATGAAAAGTTTTACATATAAAGAAATGAAAAATCAGATATGAAGACAAAAGTTCAATATCTTGAGTATTTCCCTCAAGATATTTTACAAGATTTTTCCATCATGTTCATCATGTTTATTTAGTTGGATCAGAATTTTTTTTTATAAATATCTGATAAGTAGTATATTCAATACAATAAACAGACTAAAGAAAATGTTCCTCAATTTTTTTCTCTCTCCCTCTCAATATCTCTGTCAATTTCAATGCTACAAATCTTATTCTTCATAAATTCATCTTAAAATTACCATTTAAGTGTATATATGTTATCATAAATCGTGAGTAAAAGTCAACCTACCAAGCGAAATGTGATTGAATATACTCAATTGTAATAAATGTATTCGTATATATATTATACTGTAAATCCAGAGAATGAGTATTGAGATATCATCACAATTATCATATTCAAATTGTACATTTTCCTTTGGAGAGAGAACTGAAATAATAATACATAATATATGAAATACAATTTAGATTGAATTTTGATGGTGAAAAGAAGAGAAGAAAATTTAATTTAATTTCTTTTCTTTTTTCCCTTTTTTTCTTACCTCATCTCATTCTTTATATATATCTATTTGTTATCACATTAGAGATGTAGGTATATGATAATTCTGATGCCTCAGAAATCATATTACAAGTTATCATTTGAATGCTATTATTATATAAATTCTCATGATGATATTACTATGAAAACAATAATTCACCTGGAATAATTTAGATAATGTTTAATATTAGTTGAGTTTCCATCATGAAAAACTTTATCGTCTTGCCTACATAATAATAAGATGCTTTACAATTATTATAATCAAAGTTTTCGTCTTCCTTTTTTATCATCAATCTAAGATCTTTAATCTATCATTATTGTCATGTAATCATATGAATATAATGAGAATGCTAATATATCGACAGAAAACATGATTAGCTACAAAGGGAAATCGAAACTTATTTCATGCACTTGGATAATTTTGTACTTACCATTTGTTTACTTTGTTTCGTAGGACCAAACAATAATGTTCATGTACCTTTGCTCCGATTCAGTCACGATGAAAATTGTTAAATATCGCCCGAGGATAATGTTTCAACTTTGATTTATATTCATCATCC